TAGAAGTCATACTATTTGAAAAGAAAGTTGTCCTCTAACCAGTTTTTATGTGAGAAGCAGACCCCAAAGCCGAAAGTAAGTGGATTGTACATTGGAAATGCATTCTGTCAGTGAATATCTATTTAAGCCCTCGTATCGCAGATTCAGGGGTATATACAGAGTGTAGTTTTTGCCCTGTCCGTCCGTATGTCTGTCTGTCTGTTTGTCTATTTGTCCGCAAAAACTTTAACATTGCCTATAACTTTTGATTGGTTGGAGCTATGGTTTTCATATTTCACATGAGTGAAAAGACCTTTCTTTGGGTACCATCACATTTTACCTTGAAGTTTGACCCAGTTTTGCAAAATTTTACCGAACCTTGGCCATAACTTTTGTTGAACAACTGGTGCTAGGGCTTTCATATTTCACATGTGTAATCCTTGTGGCAAGACCTTCCTTTGGAAACTATCAACTTTGACCCTTTGACATGACCTAGGAGTTTAACCTACTTTTAAAAAAAACGTTAACCTTGGCCATAACTTTTGAACGGTTGGTGCTAGGGCTTTCATACTTCACATATGTAATCCTTGTGACAAGACCTTCCTTTGAATACCAGTAACTTTGAACTTTAGCTAGGAGCTTGACCTACTTTTGAAAAACTTTAACCGTGGTCATAACTTTTGAACGGTTGGTGCTAGGGCTTTCATACTTCACATATTTAATCCCTGTGACAAGACCTTCCTTTGGTAACAATAACTTTGACTTTGACCTTGATGTTTCACTTACTTTTGAAAATTTAGCCTTATCTATATCTATATCTATTCAATGGTTGCTGTTAGGGTTTTAATATCTCACAGGTATATTCCTCGAGACAAGACCTTACTATGGGCATCAACATATTTGATTTGCATTTGAGAAAGTTTATTAAGTTTCGCCATTTGCCATTAGGGTGCATCAGAGATTCACAAACACATCTTGTTTATTTACACTCAAAAACACCTAGCTAAAAAAAACTGTTAGCAAAATTACGATGAATCTATGGTTCCTGGTTGCAAGGTTCATGTCCCCTTGTGGTTCTTTTATGATCACATATTGAAAATGCATTATGATTAAAATATTTTTCTTTTTCATAAAAATCGATGTTTTGTGTGATTACTGAGTATATTTAATAGTGAGTTTTAAATGTTCAGGCCCCAGGATGGGGCTTAGTGTATTATATATGGAACATGGTTTACATCTGAACAAAATTTCCCTTTTTGAAACCTTGCAGATAAACTGTTTTCATTATTTTAAAAAATGAGAAAAAGTTGATGCTCACACTATTATTTATGGTCCAGTATGTCACATGATTATGTCAAGGTCATAGGAAGAAGTCAAGGTCAGAGGAGAAAATTCTTGTAAGGTTTTTAAATAAGTAACGAGAAAACATTGAAAATTCATTGTTGGCGAATAGAATATGTTAAAGTTTGTCCAGGATTAGAGCAAGTCATGGATTTTCATGCCCCCGTATCGAAGATTAGGGGGTATATAGTTTTTGCCCTGTCCGTCCGTCTGTCTGTCTGTTTCTCTGCAAAAACTTTAACATTGTTCATAACTTTTTATTGGTTGGAGCTATGGCTTTCATATTTCACATGTGTATTCCTTGTGACAAGACCTTTCTTTGGGTACCATCATATTTGACCTTTTGACCTTGACCTTGGAGTTTTACCAAGTTTTACAAAATTTTACCTAACTTTAATCTTGGCCATAACTTTTGAACAGTTGGTGCTAGGGCTTTCATACTTTACATTTGTAATCCTTGTGACAAGACCTTCCTTTGGAGACCAACAACTTTGACCCTTTGACCTTAAATGTTGACCTACTTTTGGAAAACTTTAACCTTGGCCATAAATTTGAACAGTTGGTGCTAGGGCTTTCATTCTTCTTATGTGAAATCCTTGTGGCAAGCCCCGACAAGCCCTCCTTCAGTTACCCAATCTAATTAAAATTAGATCCTTTACGCTCCCGTATTTTGTTATGTCGCTGTACATAACAAAATACGGGAGCGTAAAGGATCTAATTTTAATTAGATTGTCAGATACCAACAATTATAGCCCATTGACCTTGACCTTGCAGTTTGACCTTCTTTTGGAAAACTTTAACCTTGGCTTTTTTTAACAGTTGGTTCTAAGGCTTTCATACTTCATATGAAATCCTTGTGACAAGACCTTTTGAAAAACTTTAACCTTGGCCATATCTTTTAAACGGTTGGTGCTAGGGCTTTCATATTTCGTATGTGTATTTCTTGTGAGAAGGTCTTTCCTTGGGCACCATTGATTTTGACCATTTGACCTTGACCTTGACGTTTCCCGTACTTTTGAAAAACTTTACCCTTTTCCATATCTTTTCAATGGTTGCTGCTAGGGCTTTCATATTTCACAGGTATATTCCTCGGTACAAGACCTTACTTTGGGTACCAACATATTTGATTTGCATTTGAGAAAGTTTAACCTTCACTATAAGTTGCCATACGGGGGCATCAGTGTTTCACAAACACATCTTGTTTTATAATTCACACGGGTGACATGTTTTAAAGTGTGTCATAATACTCGTAATACTCAGGTGACCGTCATCAATGCCAATTGGCTTGTTCTATACATTTTTAAAATGTTTTTTATGTTTATTTTTAGAACTTTTTAAAAATTGATTTTCAACCCTTCTGAGCCATAAACTGTTGCAGTATTTCATAAGGGTTTTAGAGTCATGGTCACTTAGAAAAACAATACTGGTGTCGTTTGATGTTAGAATTGTTACCATAAAATATAAGGTATTCATTTTGAAATAAGAAGTATAAGATGATATAATTAAAAGTATACTTGGAATTTGTTAAAATACCTTAATTTGAAATTTTGTGACAAGTACATGTATATAGGCGAGTATTATTATATCCAAGTCATAGAAACAACCCAGACCCAATTAAGAGAAGATCAATGGGTTTTGGGCGAAAAAAACGCTGAGAGATTTTCTTTAAGATAGTATTATGGTGTTCTTGTGTCAATTACGGAATAGGGTCAGGATCAACTGCATGTCCTACTTCCAGACAAAGCATGCGAATCAGAGCACAAGAATGGACCGCAATCCTCAGAATGACATGCACGTTATTTGATATGGCTTGCAAAAATTGCATTTAGTAATCAGACATTTCTCATCTTATTCTTTTACAGATAGAAATAACACTTGATTCCAGTAAAATGGATTATTCTTGCCAACAAATCCTCTATTCATTCAGAGTGTTCACAGTGAAGATTTGGGTCACCCATTCTTAAAAATCATTCTAATTAATAAGGAAATATTAAACAATTTGTCCATTCAGATATTATTTGCGTTTTTATACAAATATGCAGATTCTGTAACCAACTTCATAGCGTGATTGCACGAGATTTTAATGTTTGATAGATTCACATGCACACGATAGCCTTTTTGATTGCAAATGAGACAAGCTAAAGATATTCCTGCAAACAATAACATGGATCAGTCGACATTGTCAGCTGAAAAATGGATATTTAACGAGCCCAAGATAGATGGATTTTTGAAATTTATAATAATGAACAATACTCGGACAACAGTGCTAAAACCGGAAGATGGAATCTAAGATACTGTCATTGTATCATGCGCCCTGTCTATAAGAAATTCTTTGCACATCGGTAGAAGAAATCTCTAAACTTCAACTTTGTTGACAAGTTGTTTGAAAATGTATTAATTTCAATAGAATTATGAAATGGACGAACAGGTCTCAATAGAATACTTCAAATTGATAGTGTACGAGCTGTCGGCGGTTAAATCCGAGGTGGCCCGATCTTAACTTTAAGTTACCAATTAACATGGTGTGTTAACTTCTGAAAATCTCTAATTTTATAATGACTTTCTGCTAGAAGACATCTGCATTGTTAAATGGTTAGAAAGACTATAGAAACAGGGGACAAGGAGAAGTAGAAAAGTCCTGTCCTCTACAAGTAGGTCGTAGAGAGATCTTTCAAAAGTTTCTTCCGGTTAATTTACCACTAATATCTGTGTATACAGGTAAATGAAAACTGGTAGAGATTAAACGAAACTTAATTGACCATAATTCTTAAGTTATCACCCACACAATAATCTCTAAAGGCGATAGTCTAGATATCATTTATATACCACCAACGTGGTAAAAGTTATGTGCAATATTCCACCAAAAAACATGCATTGGCACAGAAAGAGTTGCTGAGAGGGGAAATTACATTTCATTGATAAATCGTTTACGCAATAACTGACACAAATAATAAGAGAGAGTATAATAAATGGTAGTTATTTACACATACACACACATATATATAACATTTTTAAGCATTTGTCAAACACATAGTTTCTAGCAGTACTCAAGAAGAAGTGCTGGAACAGATGCAATGGGGCGACTTGGGCGAGTACTCGAGCTGTGGCAGATAGCGTTATATGATCTGTTCTTTATATTAAGCCCTTTTTTCTTCACTTCAAACCCAATTAAAATAAAATGCTTTTTCCTTAATTTCTAATAAAAAAATGTTTTGGTCACGATAATAATGTATAGTTACCTCTTGCTGTAAACTTCTGATCCCTCCAAAAGACGTGACTATAAACACATGTTATACAGATGAATCCCTGATTCTAATGTACAACATTTACTAGGGATGCACGTGTAACCTCACTTTGAAAAAAAAACTGTACTGAAGAAAACATTTTTTTATTTTTCTTACTATGAGATTAAAATTAAGATAAATGGATACCATTGAAACTTACAGTTTTATATTAGTAGGTTATTTAGTGGATGTATTTACTTTAGGGAGTTTACCCTCTTAATAAACAGCAAAATATCTAAACAGAGTACAACTCATTTTTGTAAGCGATGTCAATTCTGTGTGAATTGGGACCCTTCTCTCTCTCGCTCTCTCAACCGTCAAGATTTCCCAGATGTTTTACTAGCAATGTAATACTACAAGTAACGGAATTATAAAAGACATCTCAGAGAAATTCGCCGAAGTGAAGATATGCTAAATATACGCCATGGTATATACACAAGTGACGAAATCAATTATGTGTCAAACTTGTACAATACACATCTTTCGGAATAGTACACTTAGGTGAGCCTCTAACTGCATGTATTTTATTTTTCTGCTGCATTTGGGATAGGGAGAAAAAAATAACAAAAAACATTAAGGCAATCATTAGAAAGATGGAAAGCTTCTTTTTAAGATTTTTTCAATTCAATAGTTTGAAGTTAAAACATGAAATCTTTAAGAACATTTTAAAAAGAATTTTCTATATTTCTACATGTTTGGAAAAACTCTTTCGACGAGTTATCAAAAATAGGGATACTGACGCAGTCATTTATAAGAAGTTAAAAACTCATTAAATGTATATGAGAAATAAGCTATTGATCAAATTGTACACATTCTTAAATAGCAAATTAAATTTTATTTGTAAACAATTTTCTGTATTTAATATCCTTAAAGTTTTTTCAATGATATAGTCTATATATGTATTGACATTTTTTTTTAGTTTCTATAATTGATAATGTACATGGGATTTCCTCAAAATTTACATTATCTAGGACTAAAACCTGTTTTTGTTAAAATTTGTTAAGTCTGAATTATTGCTTTTCACAACTTTTCAACAGAACTCTTTAAAGTGTAGTTAAAATTATTCTTAGTAAGAAATTGCTTTACACGAATAACATTCTTTTTTTTTAAATAAAAGTGTTGCAGAAAAGTATTTTTGCACAAGTAACGACAATACATGCATGTTTAATTTACTAGCTTCGTTTGAAATGTGTTCTACCATCTAAAGCTATCTATATGCATGTGTTCATGAGTACAAGGGAAAAAAACTGGCAATGCACATAATCATTCTTCACTAAATTTCATTAACACTACTTATGTAACAGTGACATGATTTATTAGTGTATCATTCCTTACTTCACAACATTCCTCTACAACAGAGAACACCTTTTGATGATGTAAAAGTGATAATAAGATTTTCTGCTTGGCTTATTTTAACTGGAGCCAGCATTTTTCTGTTGTTTATGTGGGTTAATTTAGATTTACCTTTTTCTTCTGAGTTATGTTTGATTCTTACGTTTTAATGTTTGAACGTCAGTGTTTCTTATCCTGTAATTGGTGATGATATATCCAAGGATGTCTACGAACATTCAAGCATCTGTCTATCCATTCTTTATATTTCTGATCAGAAGACTTTACCGGGGATGAAAAAAAAACTTGTGATAGATTTATAGATAATTTATTTTATAAATACTAGTAAAATAATACACTTCGTGATCACTCAGAAAAAAATCATGCGATACTTAACAGCATGCACGTTATAGCATGAGAAAAAACAATCATACAGATTTTGCAGAAACCACACAAATGGTCCAAACAGTAGATACGTACATAATATCATCTATTAAATGATTAGTTTGAAAAATCGGTGAATGAACTTTACAGGATGGAGACAACAACATACATGCATGTTAAGATTTTTACTCTTTCAATCAAACCCATTGACTGAGCAGCTGAATTTTATCTATGTTGAAATTATATAACTTGATTACTCCCACATCAAATAAAATTTCCTTGTCTGGGATTTGAAATGGGAACTGCTTATTAAACATTTTCCGGTTGTTTATAACATTTTTGAAATATAATAACCACGTCTTTCTTATGAACAATCAGGAAAATTAGCAAGAATACTTTAATTTGCGCTCCATCTATAGTCCTTCAATTCAGCTGAACTTCATTTGTACATTTCTACTGCTCTATACTTCTACTAGCCTTCATTTGCCAACCATTTACTGTCCCTCACTTCTACTGACCTTATGTTGCACATCATTTACTGACCTTTACTTCTATTAACCTTCATTTCTACTGACCTCCACTTCTATTGATCTTCATCTGCCCACCATCTACTGACCTCCACGTCGATTGATCTTCATCTGCCCACCATCTACTGACCTCCACCTTTGTTGATCTTCATCTGCCCACCATCTACTGACCTCCACCTCTATTGATCTTCATCTGTCCACCACCTACTGACCTCCACCTTTATTGATCTTCATCTGTCCACCATCTACTGACCTCCACCTTTATTGTTCTTCATCTGCCCACCATCTACTCTCCTCCACCTCTGTTGATCTTCATCTGCCCACCATCTACTGACCTCCACCTCTATGGATCTTCATCTGCCCACCATCTACTGACCTCCACCTCTATTGATCTTCATCTGCCCACCCTCTACTGACCTCAATCTCTACTGATCTTCATCTGTCCACACCCTCTACTGACCTCAATCTCTACTGATCTTCATCTGTTCACATCTACTGACTTCAACCTCTATTGATCTTAATCTGCCCACCATCTACTGATCTCAACCTCTGTTGATCTTCATCTGCCCATCATCTACTGACCTCCACCTCTGTTGATCTTCATCTGCCCACCCTCTGCTGACCTCCACCTTCATTGATCTTCATCTAGCCACCATCTACTGACCTTCACACATACATACTTTCATTTGTCAACTATTTTATTCCCTTCACTTTCACTTACCTTCATTGCCCACCATCTATTGACTTTCACTTATACATGTACTTAACTTCATTTGTTACATTTTACATGTATTCCCTTCACTTCCACTGTCCTTCATTTGGCAACAATTTACTGTCCTTAATTTCTTCTGACTTTCATCCCCCCCCCCCCCGCCCCCGTCTACTGACTTTAACTTCTATTGACCTCCATTTACCCACCACATCTGTTGACCTTTATTTGCTCACCATCTACTGACCTTCACTTCTACTGCATTTCACATCAATTGACCTTCATTTGTCCACCATATACTTACCCTAACTTCTATTGCCCTTAACTTCTACTGCCTTTCACTTCTATTGACCTTCATTTCCCCAACATCTACTGACCTATTATTCCTATTAACCTTTATTTTTACTCCTTTTCACTTCTATTGACCATCATTTGCCCACCACCTACTGACCTTTACTTCCATTAACTTTTATTTCTACTGCCTTTCACTTCTATTGACCTTCATTTACCCACCGTCTACTGACCTTCACTTACTTTTATTTCTCAACAATTTTATTCCCTTCGCTTCCATTGACAGTTATTTGCCCACCATCTACTGCCTCCATTTGCCAACCATCTATTGATCTTCACTGTCCTTCATTTGCCCTCAATCTACTGACCATCATTTCTAATGCTAATAACTTTTACTAACCCACGCTTCTTTTAAAAGACATCCGTCTGCCCATCATCTATTGACCTTCACCTTTATTGATCTTCATCTGCCCACCATCTACTGACCTCCATCTGCCCATCATCTAAGGACCTTCACTCATAGAGTATACTTTCATTTGCCAACCTCACTTCCACTGACCTTCATTGCCCACCATCTATTGACTTTCACTTATACATGTACTTACTTTCATTTGTTAACCATTTTACATGTATTCCCTTCACTTCCACTGACCTTCATTTGGCAACCATCTACTGTCCTTAACTTCTTCTGACTTTCATTCTTCCCCTCCCCCATCTACTGACTTTCACTTCTATTGACCTCCATTTACCCACCATCTACTGACCTTTTCTTTTATTACCCTTAACTTCTACTGCCTTTCACTTCTATTGACCTCCATTTACCCACCATCTACTGACCTTTACTTCTATTCCCTTCACTTATACTGCCTCCCACTCCTAACGATCTTCATTTTCCAACCATCTACTGACCTTTACTTCTATTAACCTTTATTTCTAAGTACTTTAATTGCCCACTATACACAGCTCTTCATTTGCCCATCCACTGACTTTTAGTTCTACTGGCCTTCATTTGCTCAACATCTACTATCCTTCATTTGAAATTAATGACCAGCATTTGCCCACCATCTACTGACCTCACTTCTCCACATCTATTAACCTTCACTTCTAATGACCTTCATTTGCCCACCATCTAGTGACCTTCACTTCTACTGACCTTCCTTTGACTAACTATTACACTAGACTTTCCTGATTTAAGGTCAAAATATTTATTTGATTTTACATCTTACACGTATCATTTAGTATAAAAGTTTTAGTTTCATTTTAGATATCATTTTATTAACAAGAAGTGCTTTTGGTAGTCGAAAAGATCGCAAAAAACAAAAAAAAAAAACCCTAAACAAACGAACAAAAAAAAAAAAAAAAAAAAAAAAAGACAATAAATTTCAATACCTATTTTATTCAACTCATTACAACTGCCATGTGTAATAGAAATAAACAAGACCATCGACCATAGAAACTTACCACCATAGTGGTTGTAATTTAACTTTTTTTCAATCCCGTTCTTATTACACAATTCTATAAAAATTGTGTGAGGATCTGAACTAAAAAGTAAGAAAAAAAAGAAAGAAAGAATTTCTTTAAAAAAAATCTTCTAAAAACGATATCGATTTTGTCCACGTCACCAGGTGTCATACGTGTGTATATATATATATACAGAATGTCGGATTATCAAAAACTTAAAGCAGGGGTTTAACAAAATGTCCACTTTTGACTTGAACTAGCAGACTTTTAAGTCGGTGAGTTTGTTACAAGACTTCCATTTATTTTGAAGTGATAAATGCAATTGATGCACGGATCAGTTTATGGGGACAGATGATACAGCTATTTCACTTCTTATATGCATTCAGAGTTAACTTTTTTTGTGAAATTACGTTTAAAAATAAAAAGCTGAATTTCATTTTTTGCAATAAATTCTATTAAAATCAAAGAGTCGTGATTTAGCGCTTACAGGAAAGATATTTTTTTAATGTAAGTAGTGGAGATAAGATCTTTTTACGGGGGGGCTTGATATTTCACATGCATGCAATAGTAATCTTATACGGAGAAGGGAATACTCATTCGAAATATTGAATAAACGAACATTATTGTTCAAAAGTATTGGGAGCAATTTAAAAAAAAACTTCAAAGAAAACACTTGCATTTCCTAATGAAATATGCCAACAATATCTCCCCTGTGTATCGTTTCCGTTCCTCAGTATGTACAAACGGTGGGTCGAGCTCGGGTCACGCCCCTGTGAACCGTTTATTCAAAAGAATATGGAGGTGGCCCAAATTCAAGATAAAATTTATCACCTGTCAGTTATTTATAAATGCCAGGTTGCAATGCGGATTTCAAAAGCATAAATGAAACTAATTAAGCAATAAACATTGTATATGTAGGCCACTGTGAAAATATCAGATTGATCAGAAACAGCTGTGCCCTCAGACCAAGTATCCTCTTACAGAATACTTCCATAACGTAAGGTATTAATCATTCAAACAAAATAGGAAATTGCCTACCATTCGGATGGCCGTTTTAATACCACTGTCCAGAGTATTGAATCAAAAGAAAAAATCTCAGATACATGTTCTATTGTTAAACACTTTATATCGAATTTAACAGGTTTATCTTAGAATTTTTAATGTGCGCATAAAAACATCCTTTAAATGAACAAAAATACAAATTTAATTCATAATTCTTGAAAAAAAGGAAGATACATGGCCATCCCTAAGGAATTACTATGCATTTGTATGAAAAGTAACATAATTCAAATTTCTTATTCAAAGAAAGAGGTTTGCTTACAATTGTGAATGGAAAATATTTCATATTTTGGGGTTGTATGTATATAATTTAAAAATCAATGTAAGTATTTCAATTCTACGTATAATCTCCAGGCTCTTTATCATTATAATACTTTCAGACTAAATGCCGGAAGAGGAGGACAGCGATAATTCCTCGGACAATTGCTCCTCTGAGGACAGACTTGTGTACACTGCGGCGGGGTTGATTGTCTGTGGGATCATCTGTATGGTGGTGGGATATGTGATCCCCAGGGACTACACTTTTAATCCATATGCACGGGCCCGAGACATGGAGTCAATAGAGATTTATTACGCCGATCTCTCTCAAAAACTCGATCTGACCATTGTCATAGGAATGGCATTTATTGCTATTGGGGGGATAATGTTGTCCTCGTTCATCACTTATATAAGCTGTTGCGAGTCTAAATCAGAATCCTCTCTACATACAGAGAGGAGGGCCATTAGTCTGTCTGGGGGCAGAAACTACGGGACAAGCGGGGTCTCCGGCGCTGAACCTCGCCCAGTACGTAATGATATAGCCTTGTGCGAGAGGTGAGGACTTTGTTCACACAGAGAAGAGGCAGACGAAGAGTCACGGGCGCTCTCATCACAAGAAAAAAATTTATCGGAGTATTTCATGTGAAGCAGCATTTTCTTGATTAACATGGTTTAATGACTTAACTCCAACAAAAGATCAAACTATTTCAGATTAGGATTAAGTTTCGTTGATATCTGAATTGATAGTCTTTATCTATTTATGGGCTACTCATTATAAATTCATTATAAAAAATTGTATTGTTGGAAAATAACTAAGTAGAAAACAAAAATGTGCTTCATTGTTGCATGTAAAGATTCAGTTTATATGTTGAAAAAGATGCATAGAGTGATAATTACGAATGACTTAGTAAAAGATAATTTCCAGACACATTAAGGTGTTATCCATCAAGTCGTCTGGAATGATGTTTGGAAATGCTTCTTTATTATGTAATTCATAACACGGTAGCACAACTAATTTCAACATTGAAATCTTTATAGCATCTTCTTTTCTCCTCTTTCCTATTATTTTTATTTTTTTATTAGCAGCTTTAAAGGTTGCACTGCATTACTTAAAACTCTTCAAGGATATGTCTAGGAAACAAAATACTAGACCATCATATCAGAAAAATCATGTACTGGAATTCTTAAATAAAAGAATAAAGGGTCATTTTAAACAGAATTCTGTTGTCATATCAATATCCACAAAAGCAAAATCAATCCTTATTCTTGCATTTCACAGTTAAAGTTAAAATTTTAATCAAAAGATTCCAATTTTTTCTGGACCTGTACTAAGTTTGTATCTTCCTGAACATCTGCTAGAAAACCATTGAAAATGTATGACTAATGGAGAATTGAAGAATAGATATGTAATTTTCAACACAGTCAATTTATTCACAAATGTTGACAACACAAAATGAATCAATAAAATCTTGCATAATCCAGACTATGGTTAACTCAATGGTTGTAATTTATTACTATGATGAATTGAATTGAATGAAAACTATTTTGAATTATGCATATAATCTGTTACATTACATTCATATTACCTTAGCACTTGTAACCTGACATTAATATCAGATTGAATGCATTAAAAATTTATTGTAAAATCCAAATTTTCACTGGCCATAATTTTACAAGTCTATCTTCATCATGCAGCAAAACTTTGGCCCATGCAACTGATACAACAATCTGTATATACATATAATGCAAAATTTTAAAATGTTTCATTATTTCATCATTGATGTAATGAGACCATGGACTGCTTACACACATATCCCTATCATCTAGAGCATCCAGATCTTGGTACTCAATAAGTCCTCTAAAAATATCCCCATCATCTGGATCATCCACTTGTTGGTACTCATTAAGTTTTTAAAGATACCCCCATCATCTGGATCATCCAGTTGTTGGTACTCAATAAATCCTTAGAAGATATCCCCATCATCTGGAGCATCCAGATCTCGGTACTCAATAAGTCCTCGCGGATCTGATCGGCGGCTGGAAAAGAGGGAATTCCAGTAACTAAATGCGTGTTCATGTGTTCTCAAATATAATAGTTTTAGATCTATTGAGGATACAAATGTACAAGTAATAGAAATTTTTTAGAGAACCATGTTGTGTCCACAAATAGGAATAAACTTATATGAGACAGATGAAAGGGGTTGAGTAAAGGTCAGTAAGATTAAATAAAGATAAACGAATATCATGTTGCTGTATATGTATATTGTTAAAGTTTCTTTTTTTCTTTTTTTTTTTAAACAAAAGATGAAACATATTGAATACAATGAATTAATGACATCAAGAATTGATGGCTGTCCCCCCATATTCATACTGTGTTCAGTCCTATATCAGTATGAAAATTTCCTATCTCACTGCTCAACAGTTAATACACATACATGTATTACATCAATAAAAACATTACCATTTCTATCACAGTTGAACTACAGGGTTGGTAATTCTGTTCAGTCAAGCTTATAATTTCTATACTAATACAGGTACTAGCACAGGGCATCAAGTATAACCCCAGGTTTCAAATTCTCATTATTTCAGGCTTCAAACCCTCGCCATTCTTGCCATTTAAGCCTTACATTCAATCTGGAGACATGAGATTAATTAGAAGTTGCCAAAATGACAAGTTAGATCAGAATAAGTCAAGTGTCAAACCATGGTGTGATTGAAAGAAAATACTTAGTGTAATTTGTGTACCATTAGAAATTAGAAGATTGAAGTATAAAATTCATTTGAAAGTAAACAAAACCATTTAACAACTGATACACAGGTTAACATGTGATACACAATGTTTGCCTTTTGTGGAATATCTGATTACACGAGGAACATTCACATCCCTGCTAAACATCTATATTCCATGAAAACACTCCTTCTGGCAGAGAAAGAGATTTATCACCCAATCAAAGAGTTGGCAACATTGGATATAATATCTAAACAATTACTCAAATTAACTTTTAATGATAACCTTAATAGCAGGTTTTAAAGAATAATGAAGATATATGCAAGGTTTCTGAAAATTAACAATCCTGCATAAAAAAAAAGTTATCTGAGGTGAAAACAAATTGTTAACATTTTTGTTAGTCTTTTGTTCTTAAAAAGAAATTTCCAAAACATCTGTTATTTTTAATACAGCATGTACACACAGAGTTTTAAAAGAAAAATAATCAGCAAGTTAATTTCAAAGTAAGGCTGTATGGACAGGTGAAATGAGATGTGCATGTGTGAAGAACATTTCTAAACATTCTACACAACCTTGAGAGTTATTGAGAATTGGCTGTACAAATTTCACAACCTATAACTAAAGGTCACACTCACTTTAAGACTATGTCATTTCAATAATATACATAGAATAGTGTCATCATAATAAGGATGTAAAACTAGTTCTATGTCATTCCTACTGGAATGTATGCATTTGATATAGGAGTATATTTCACAATTAATTTATGATGAATGATAGTTTATCTTGATAGAAGGTATAGCAAACTCCCTTCATTTCACACACACACAAAAAGAACTTCCATTCATTTTTCTTTCACATTCTGTCATCTCAAATACAAACTGCTCTAGAATTATTTAATATTTCTATTTATAAATACATGTATATATATGGTGTGTACTTTTAGATAAATTCTTTGTTAAAGAAACAATCAAATATTCAGAAAAATGGTCAATTGCTCATTTTCTGTTGATCTATTTGAAAATAAATTCTGCTAGGGTCAATATAGAGTAGTATTGAAATTTTAAGCATTTAATTTTCGTATTTTGGAACTCTAGTAATGTAGGCCTAACGAAAAAGAGTCATAGTCATAATGATACAGTATGTATCTTCACTCTCCAGTCAAGTGGAATTGTAGTTGGATGGAAACTTTTTATTTACCCCCCCCCCCCCAAAAGAATCACTGACACATCAGTGTCTTCATTTAACCTTGATCAGCTTAATCTGACTTTTACTGTTTATGATATTAAAATATATGCATCGTCACTTTCATTTCAAAACCTTAGGAAGATTGTCTTTGATACGTGTTTTTTATGAAAATATTTTGAAAATATCCTTTAAATATGCCACATTTACAATTCATAAGCCACAAGTTACAAATCTACATTTGAATTTAGGGAATAAAGGATGGAGTCTGTAAGATCCAATGTCAGAAGTGAATTCTAACAATACCCTTAGACAAATTACTCAACTGTTCAGAATTCCGCTTCCTAGCAACATTGGATCTGGAAATAAATGACCTAATTTAACAACTTATTAACAGTGGTATAATTAAAACTTCATCAATAAAGACAATAAAGAACTTGAATATGTTGAAATGACAAAATGAACTGTAATTCATTTAGACTTTCCTGTATACCTGAAATGGCCTCTGTATCCTCCCGCTGCGGATCTTCTATAATCCCCCCGGTAGTCATGATTTCCATAGGGTGGGGTTGGGTAATGGTGAGGTGCACTGCTGCTGGACCCTGCCAAAATTATTTTTAAAAAAATCATATTTATGCATCTTTTTATCATGCTCAATACTCCAAAGCAAAAAAAAAAAAAAAAAAAAAAGTTCCATGTTAAACTTGTATAGAACAGAATTGAAACATACATGTACATTTAAAAGTTGCTGTCGACAATATTCAGCTAAATATAATATATAAATGAGAACACTTCTATAAACCAAACAAAGTTAAGGACTCTCATATCCTGATTTTAACAATGCACTTGTTATTCAAGAAGAAAATAACATAGCAAATTTTTATATTTTTTGGGTATAGCATATTTTCATCTAAATCTCATCTCACCATAACTCCTCATGGGTGGTGCCATTGGCTGATTGTATCCCATCATTCCTTGCTGGGGAGGGGCTTGGTAACCTGCACTATGACCAGAAAAGGGATCTCTAGAAGGCCCCTCTTTCTGTTTATTTTTAGGATGCTCTTGTAATGCTGGTCTTTTTGGATCCATTAAATAGTTATTGAAGAAAGCAACCTACAATGAATTGTTGAAATGTATTCTTCTTATCTTTCTAATTTATACATCTTACTTATAGGAGAAATAAATAACAAGGCTACTGTCAATCTCCAATTTCTCTTGATGGGCTTGAAAATTAAAACATTGGAAATTAATCAATAAAGTAAGCTAATCTAAATGAAATTTTTAAGACTTGGTATCAAGTAATTCTAATAAACAAAATTCAGATGTAATGTATATACATTTAATATCAAGAATTTTTTTCCCAACAAGCTGTTCTAATTATATTTACTATGCACACGATATTGAATACATGTCTCTCTGATCAAGAAATATTATTGGAAAGCTAACACCTCCTCTTTTCTACAATACATAAGCAGAATTAATCTCGGTGGAGATTCGGCTGGGCTAGATATTTGGTCTGACGCCCACCGAATCTCGGGACACTCCTTCATAATTCATGTCTGGGAATTCAGCCCCAACTTCGGCCAGCTATAGCAAGAATTATTCACCTAGGCGACACTGCCGTTCGCTTCAATTAAGTCATTTAGTTGTTTAATTAACTCTCTGTCACTATTACTTTCACATTGCTTACTGTCTAGGCATATAAATCCCACCATAAAAACATTCACTAAAATCGCCGTTCAAAATATGGCTCCCCTGACGTAATTGTTTATCTCCTCGCACTAAAGAGTTCCTACAGTCTGTTTTCTTTTATGTGATACTGAACCTTTACTGTGGCTCATAAGTATTTTTGATAGAAATGAAAACAGACCATAGAGGAACTCTTTAGTGCGAGGAGATAAACAATTACGTCAGGGGAGCCATATTTTGAACGGATATTTCAGTGAATGTTTTTATGTTGGGATTTACATGCCTAGACGGTAAGCAAGGTAGAAATAATAGTGACAGAGAGTTAATTAAACTACTAAATGACTTAATTGAAGCGAACGGCAGTGTCGCCTAGGTGAATAATTCTTGCTATAGCTGGCCGAAGTTGGGGCTGAATTCCCAGACATGAATTATGAAGGACTGTCCCGAGATTCGGTTGGCGTCAGACCAAATATCTAGCCCAGCCGAATCTCCACCGAGATTAAAGCAGAATGTGGGGGCATGACCAGGCAAAAAGACCTCACCTCTGTTCTGACTTCCTCCACTTTTTCACCATGTTTGTTAAAGATATGCTTCCTGACAAACTCTGGACCTTTGAACTTCTTCCCGCTGATTGGACACAGCCATTTATCCTTGGACAGTTCCTGTGTGTTGGCTGTTACAAACTTCTCCACCTCTGTAAACAGCTGTTAAGGATAAACTTAAACACAAGCACCGGAAATGATCAGAGACCTACATACACCTGATCAAGCCATGTATCCTAGTCTTATAAGTTTCATGATTAATCTGTACATAAAGCTTTTAACAAAGGATATGCCTCTGGATCTTTCCTGCCAAACTTGATACATTCTTCCTCAGACAATTTCTCCTGGACCTCTGTAAACTGCTTCAGTTTGTTCTCTGTATTGGTGATCCAATCATTTACTACAAAGAATTTACCTCAGATGTTATGACTTGATCAACTCCAAGTCCCTCTCTGGGTAGGACACTATTTTCATTCTAATACCCACAAAGATGTAAGGAACAGAGATCAACTTACCATCTTGCTGTGTAATTTTAGTGGTGGGTGGTATTCCCCTACAATGCATAATCCCACATCTGTGTGGCATCTCATCCTCGTTAGGATACTCGTTAGCACTGTAGTAATCAATGGAATACACTATCCTGAGGTAGAGTATCATCCTGTCTAAAGCCTGAAATATCAAATAAAGGAGATTGTTGTATGTAAGTGTACTTATTCTGGCATATTCACCTATATGAACACCTTGGACTTATTACTGCCATCAGTGTGTCAATTAATCATTTGTATCAAGAATTTTATATTTGTTTACATGAAGTTGTCACAAATTACTGAATGTAAGACAAGACCAAAAAAGTTTTTAAAAAAACAAACAAACCAAAACAAAAAACAAAAAACAAAAACCTACCCTCACTTAAATACAATTATAGCAGATTACCAAAAGTTTGATTGATATGATACCTTGATCATTCGCTCATCTCTCTCCACTATAACTTCATTGTTTGATTCTTTCTCCCCCTCCTCCATTTTTTCACCTTAATAAAAAAAAAATCACTCTTTATTTTGCTGATAAATAAGAGCTATTGGATGATAACAAAGCTTATAAAGAAAGAATTAATACCTTTTGAGGATTACATACAATGTAGCTTATGGAGAAGATTTCAGTTCCTGCAAAATGGGCTTTAATCAAATAGTTGTGTGTGCCATTTAATGCATAAAGTGAACATAACTCTTTGTGTGACATACTTTAAAATCCAACAGAAAGAATGGTGTTAAAAAAAATTAAAATCAAACTGCAAACAGATAGTCTCAAAATAATTCATTGTTTCTTTAACAGACTTCTCTATAAAAGATGAAATTGAATTAGTTTGTGGTTAGAAAATTTAGGATGTTATTGTTTTAATGAATACAAATTGTAATCATCAGTATATTCATCAAGAATTTGGGGTTTTCTGAATCTTAACATCAACAAACCGAGTAACTCTTCCTCCTCGAAACTTCCTTCCTCCACAAGATAATCTGTAATATTCTTTAAAACAGGATTCTTAGATGTGAAACTAAAGGAGCTCTGAAAGAAAAAAGATGTTGAATTTAACAATAATATTAATAACAAATAATTTCAATAGAAACTAACATTCTACTGTTGTAACATACTGTAGTAATGATCTGTATATTATTTCTTTTATAAAAATTTAGTGATTGACCTCTGACCTCTTTAGATTTGTCTTTCTTTTCCTCCTCAGGATCCTCCCACATCCCCCACTTGGAGTCCAGATTCTGGATAATTTTAGCTGCTTGTTTAATGTCAGAGCGGACAATTTGTTTGTGGGCTGAGATTCCATTGACAGGACGGACTCTCTGTTTTAGCTCCCGATTCAAGGTGGCTCCAAGTTCACAGTCCCTCAACTACAAAGAGAAAAACAAATTCTGATTATAGAGATAGTTTGCCTTTGTTTTTTTCCTTCTTGAATACACACTATCAGACATCATTAGATATCACAAATTTACAAATAAACTAGAGCTATTTCAAAGGGCTAAAACCCTCACATAAAAAAAACTTGAAAATCACACAAATTTTAATATATAAATTTCTGTGGCTCCCAAATTTAAATGACCATTTGGATCAGCATTTTTTTTATTACAAATAATCATATATAAAGCAATTTTTGTCGAAAAATTACCTTCCAAAGTTTCCCATAATCATAATATCATCATTATAGTATTAAATATTCAAATAGGTACATTTTTATAAAATACTAATATAAACTTGTGTATTAATGAATCCCAAGTACAAAAATATTACTCTAATATTGTTGAGGTTCCAGCAGATTTCTTTAATGTTAACATCTCTATCAAATGTGACCCAGCCTCTTCTGAAGAACCGCCGTTCAGCCTGGGGGTCCTGAAGGGCCACTCGAACAAAGCCAGGGTATCTCTTACACATCTGTAAGTAAGAGTTAATGTGTCTGAATCAAGAGCATGAATGGAAATGTGCATTATCAAAGAACTCCTTTAAACATATGAAATCTGATACAGTGTATAAAACTCCCATACAATGTTAGAGTTATTTTAAAAAAAACAATAGTGGATGTCCACTTCTCAAATTAAGTCTGATGATATATCTTACAGCTTCCACTTCCTGTTTGGTAATAGAGGGCGCTAGATTCCTTAAGAAGATGGAGGAAGTCTTGTGAAGTGCCCTGGGTCTGGGAGACGAGTCTTTTTTGTCCTTCTCTTTCTCCTCCATGGTGTCTTGGTCTTTATCCTCTCCATCAGACATGTTAGCCTCTATAAAAATTCAAACCATAAATCTACATATTACTTTTAGAATTTACTGCTGTAAATATTGTTATATTAACAGTTGCAAAGTTGATGACAACTTCATTTTAGAAATTCATTGGGTGGAAACTATGACCATCTTTAAGTACATGTATTCAGTATTTTTCTTTAACAATTATGAGAATTTTTAAAAGTCAATTTTGTCAATTTTTCCACTTCATCAATGTTTCCATTTACAGCATTGTCACTTGTATGTATTTTTGTCTTAACAGTGATTATAACGACACAGAAACAATCTGATATATACAGGTAAACTTCGATATCTCGAACTTGGCGGGACTGAGGAAAAACTTTAAGATATCCGAGTGTTCGAGATATCGAAGTTGATGAATTTGGAACTGATATTATTATGTTACATGTTCTATTGACAGGAAATTACCCCCTCCCCCTTTTCCACCACGTGCATAATTTAATTTAAGCGGTAAATGTTTCAGTTTGTACTTAGTGATATCTTTTTAAAAATACATTTACATATACACTTATAATGCATATATTATTTTATTCAATACTGCAACACTTACATTTTACAAATTTCAATTGCTTTCAATAGCGACAAATGATAATCATGCTGGTTTCAGGATTTCTGATACCCGGATATGTGTTATGCTTTGTAAATGATAAACCGATCACTGTAGTAAGGATTAAGATGGAAACAGGAATTATCGTTCTACAATAATTTATTGAAATTGCCAATATGCATAAACAAAAGCAAACTTTGTTTCGATTGTATGAACTTTAAGTTTTCTTTTTACACCACGGTCAGATAATCTAACTATCCCCCTGGGTTTGCTACCAGGTCCTTCGTTAGATTGTTTATCAGACATGATGTGTACTGGAGAGTTAAATTTTTGGTACTGACTTTTATACTCAAAATAATGTCTTTAATTGTTTAAATTCTTGAGTTCAGAATCACTTTGATGTGTTCAGTGTTTACTTTGATATGTAATAATGTGATTAAGCATTTATTTTCGATAAATTTAAATTCCTATTACAGTAATCGTCCCCAAGCCGCTGTTTCATTATCCTGTTATCATATCTCTGAGTGTGCATTTTATTAACACCTCCAGATCACCTGGCCTGCGTAATTAAATTTAACTACCAAAAACAACAGCTTGGGGCTAATAAGGTGTGATTATCAGCAATGGTCCCACGAAGCCTGCGCTAGACCTAACGGAAACATTCAACAGACCTTAAAATTAGCATATTGGGATTATTGTGTACAACTGTGTGAATTCAGCGGAGTGAGAAATTTGTTGGACTTCGAGATAATGCATGTGTTTATAGCACTTGGGACCGCAAATCTACTTCGAGATAAGCGAGATTTCCGTGTACGAGATACTGTTTTTTTTAAAAATCATAAATATAATAAAAACGGCCGGGACAGTTGATTCACTTTGAGATATCCGTGGTATTCGACATATCGGTGTTCGAGATACCGAAGTTTACCTGTAATATAATTAATACAGTTGAACTTTAGTATCTCAAACACCGATATTTTGAATACCATGGATATCAAAGTGATTTGGAAGTCTCGACTGCTTATTCTTTCGGTATTTTACTCTCAATATCTTGAATTCTCAGATATCTAGAAGTTTTTCTTTGTCCCTTCAAGTTTGAGATAATGAGGTTTGAAGACAGTTTCTTTCCTATCAACTGTATAAAAGCGATTAATTATTCTCTTCAATATGCTGGGTTTACTCTCTATCATTCTAAATCACCTTTTCATATTAATTCTCAATTTTTTCAGAGACTTCAGGCATTTCACTTATTTTGTTATATTTTTAAAAATCTTTCAGTTTGTAACTAACAGTATGTAATGTTTACCACTTTTTAACTGTTTTTCTCACCTTTTGGCGTTTCCTCTTCCTTAGTTTTGGATGCCTCTGTTGAGGAGGATACATTCTGTTCATCTCCATCCTCGGACTTTTCTCCCTCCTCGGCTGTCTCCCCTGACTCCTCCATTCCTGGTGGGACAGGCTCAGACTCAGAATCACTGCCACTCTCAGACTCTGAGCCACTCTCATAGTCATAACCAGCTTTGTTGCGATGTCTCTTCTTTTTCTTAGGTTTTTTCCCTTCTTTGATGGTGCTTTCTTCTGGTACAGGCTGATATTTGAGAAAATGTATTTTCATGTCAATCAGTTTCCTTTTATACTCAAGAATTCCATTAATTAAAGGACTTGTCCCATGTTTTTTAAAAAAATCCGTAATTTTATGAAAAATATTAACTACAACCTTGTTTATTAAAATATTGAATAAAATAAAGGTTGTTGTAAGCATATTTTAAGAGAAATTTAGAGTTGATACTCAAATACGGCGATATGCATATTTCAATCGGTTTTCGCCGCCATACTGCTGTGATGTCATATGTGACAATTCAGTGAAAGCGAGATGAGAAACTGTATACTTTTAAAGAAGTTATCAACGACAAATGCAGGGTATAATAAGGAAAACTCTGAATCTTACATGCTTCTCAATAACTATAGAAGTAAGAACTTGTTCTTATTTAAGTATAAACATCTTTTAAAAGATGAATTTATAAATATATGCATGTAAATATTATAAAAAGGACTACAGTGTAGGTATACATGGTGTAATGATGTTAGTAAGAAAATATATTTTAAATCTCAACAAGAGGCCCAAGGGCCTTAACGGTCACCTGAGTATAAAACAACAATCTATAGAAGATCCATAGAGTATAAAATAAACTGATAGAAGAAGCTTTTGTAAATCTTTGATTTTCCCTTGTGGCCCCACCCTATCCCAAGAGTCCAGAATCATGATTTGAACAAACTTGAATCTATACTAGCTGAGGATGTTTCCATGTAAATATAACCAATCATGGCTTTGCTGTTCTTGAGAGAAGAATTTTTTCAATTTTTAATGATTTTTTCTATGTACTTCTATGTAAAACTTTGATCATATTAAAATGACTAATCATGGCTTTGCAGTTCTTGAGAAGAAGAAATTTTCCTATATATTCCTATGTAAGACTTTGATTCCCCATTGTGGCCCCATTGGCCCCATCCCACCCCGGGGGGGGGGGGGGGGGTGTCAGGATTTTAACAAACTTGAATCTACACTACCTGAGGATGCTTCCATATATTGATCAATCATGGCTTTGCTGTTTATGAGAAGAAGATTTTAAAAGATTTTTCCTATATATTTCCATGTAAAACATTGATCATCCATTGTGGTCCCATCCTACCCCATGGGTGTCATGATTTGAACAAACTTGAATCTACAATACCTGAGGATGCTTCCATATAAATATGACTCATCACAACTTTGCTGTTTTTGAGAAGAAGATTTTAAAATATTTTTCCTATATATTTTTATGTAAACTTTGATCATCCATTGTGGCCCCGCCCTACCCCCGGGGGTCATGATTTGAACAAACTTGAATTTACACTACCTGAGAATGCTTCCACATAAATATGACTCATCATGGCTTTGCTGTTCTTGAGAAGAAGATTTTAAAAGATTTTTCCTATATATTTCTATGTAAACTTTGATCATCCATTGTGGCCCCACCCTACCCCCGGGGGTCATGATTTGAACAAAATCGAATCTACACTACCTGAAGATGCTTCCACATAAATATGAGCAATCAGGGCTTAGCTGTTCTTGAGAAGAAGATTTTTAAAGATTTTTCCCATATATTTCTATGTAAAACTTTGATCCTCCATTGTGGCCCCACCCTACCCCCGGGGGTTATGATTTGAACAAACTTGAGTCTACACTACCTGAGGATGTTTCCACACAAATTTCATCTTACCTGGTCTAGTGGTTCTTGAGAAGAAGATTTTTAAAAGATACCATTATTTTTTCACTAATTCTTAATTATCTCCCCTTGGAAGAAGGCGTGGCCCTTCATTTCAACAAACTTGATTCATCTTTACCCAAGGATAGTTTGTGGCAAGTTTGGTAAAAATTGGCCCAGTAGTTCTTGAGAAGAAGTCGAAAATGTGAAAAGTTTACGCACGACGCACACCCGCACGCCGACGGACGAAAACAGATCGCAATAGGTCACCTGAGTGACTCAGGTGACCTAAAAAAAACTTGCTGATTTATTGCAGAGTTTTAATAACAGTAACTAGAATATGATTATAGAATCATATATGACTAGAATATGATTATAGAAGAAAGGATAATTAGTAAAGATCCCGTCACCTTTTCAAATTATAGATATTATTATCAATTACCCCGGTCCCGCGTTCCCCTTTTGATTTCAATGACGATTCAGTCACTCAAGTATTTACATTATGATTTTATTTAAGATTAATAAATAAAATGAATTAACAAAGTTCTGTAATTTTAAATTTGTGAACAAGGTTGGTTAATACATGTGATAAGATGACAAATTATATAAATTTCTTCGTCTTCGCTCATCTCCCTCGCTTCCATCATTGTTAACAGGATAATTTACCATGTTTACATATATTTTTCGTATTTTTTCTTGCTAACAGTTCAAACAAAAAGGTTGAATATTCAACTTCATGCAGATAAAATCAGTGATTTGGTCGTTCATAACACAGAAAATCCTGTTTGCATCATGCATATTTTAGTAAGATTAAGGTAAACAACTGATCAGCCATTGTCGCACATGACATATCATGGTCATGTGATTGCTATCTAATTAACTTGGATTTTTAACTGAGGGGTTTTTATTTTAATCATCGACGTTTAATTACCGCGTTATCTCCACAATAAAAACACGAAATTTATCAACTATGATCATAAGGGACATAATACGCTTTTAATTTTAAGTAATAGAAAAACATGGGACAAGTCCTTTAACTATACAATGATATGAGTAAGTCTGATAACATGTGAGTATTACATACTGAGCTGGATTCACTTCCATTTTTGGCTTGCTGCTGTTTAGAAAACTCCTGTGCCTTCTTCATGAGCTCCTTCTGTTCAGCTGATATAGGTAATTTTAATGGCTCCTACAATTCCAGGTGTACATTATCACACCATGTAAAAACTTCAATTAGCAGTTAGGCCAACATTTTTTTATTTTCTGTTTTACGGGAATTTTTTTCAAAAATTAGAGTCGGGGGGTCGAAATAAAAATAAAAATAAAAGCTTGAAATTTAAGCAGTCGGTCAGAAAAATAAAAATAAAATGAAAAAATGCAATAAAAATTTTTATTTTTAATTAAGGTCGGAATTTTTTTGTATGACCTTAATTTGTTAGGAAAACAGTGTTATTTGAAAAACTTATGAATACAAAACACAGAATTGGTACTGTTAATGTATTAATGAACTATTTTAAATTTAACTTTCTCTGAGATATTTGGGGCAGGGGGTGCATTTCTAGTGTACAGCTTGCAGTTTCTAACATTAATGCAAATCAAACATACAAATCTATAGTCTTCTCTCAGTTGTCAAAGATCATATTGTCACCACAGTAAACCTATAGGACTTATGTCACACCTCATATACTTTTCAGAATCTTTTATTTTTCGGTTTTCAGCAAATTACAAGATCTGAGGATTTTGAACTAGCTCTGGCAAAGCTATGGAGAAAATACAGTGAGACTTTCAATGGATCAGCTAAAATAAATTAATTCACAGAATTCAAAGTGCACATGAGACATGATAAAAAGAAAAGTTGTATAATATTTTTTTCAACGCAATTCCAATTAATATACGTAGGTGGAAAAAACGTACCACAATATCTCTGTTCAAAACATATTCAAACTTCCTCAGTCTGTAGTATATTTGATATCTTTTTATCCTTATATTTTTCTTTCTGAGCATGCTAACTTTCAGCATAATTGTAGAAAATACACATCTTCCCCATAGTATACACATGTAAAATACACATGGCAATATTCTTTTTACTGCAGAATTTAAAAATTTAATTGTTGAAACTGGTTCTAATCCACAACTTTTGAATGAAAAAAAAGAAACCAGGTCTTCAATTGAAATAATAGTTGTAAGAGCGTATCATTTACAACAATACTTTTCCCTAGTGGTAAAAAAAAAGTTGTTTTACTAAACAAGAGATATACATGTATACTATATCAGCTGACATGATTAATACGCTGATCAATGTACATTAATTTGTTACATAGCACGCAAAATTCCATAAAGCGAAAAAAAGGAAATAACGTCTTGTATCAATCAAGCATCTATATTTTCGTAGGTAATTTTGAATTCCAATATTTGTCATAAAACGAGTGAAAGTTGTGACTCGGATTTCCTCAGTCACGCCACTTTCTACCAGTTCTACAGTGTTCGCTTCTGTCGTTACTTGTAAAAGAAAACATTTTTGTCTTAAAATTAAGTTTTAAAAAATCTTCAAGACGTATTTCAATGTATTGAAGCAATTCTCAAAGATAATACGTACTCAAAACCTTTCAAAACAAGCGGTTGACAGAACCTCGATTTCCACGTGGCCCTCCGCATGACATTTGATCAAGATTACTGTTTCGTCTATTTCATTCAATCTTTCATTAAAATTTATACTTTTTTTTCTCTAATATATGACATTGACACTTTTTAAACTGACTATTTAAAAACACGTGAAACCCTCCGATTCTGACATTTTGGCGCTATGCTGTGCAGTGACTATTCACGCTTCGAATACTGTGAATGTGATTGGATGAATATATTTACCTCAGTCAATGACAAATCGCATTTTGAAAGGCTTGTGAAAAGGTTCTTTATAATTCTTTTATTTTTTCAGTGACTATAAATAAACTATCGGCGGGAAAAATAAAAATAAAACTTGAATTAGGGACTTTTATTTTTATTTCATTTTAGCCCAAATTAGGGTCGGCGCTCCCGTAAAACAGGATATAAAAAAATGTTGGCCTTATTAGCATTACCAAATCTTTTAGACATTCAAGAACAATAAAACTTACATCTGGTTTTTTGTCATTTGAAATGGATCTTTTTCTTTTCTTCTTTTCATCTGGACTATAAACATACAAATGAAAAACAATGATACCTTGAAAATGATGACTCGCTTCATATATGATATGCTTTAAAAGAAATGCAATCATATTGAGACATAATCCATAAAAATAATGTTCAGTTGCCCCTGACCTTTCCATGGGTATAGATTCTGAGTTGTTCCGACTCCTGCCTCCATCTTTATCCTCCTCAACGGCTTGGTCCAACACGGTTAAATCAAAATCTGTCCCTCCTTCCATCTTAATGACAGCTACAACACAGGTTTATAAACTGTTTGTTTACTTGATAATAATTTTGGAACTTAAATGTACTATGCATGTAATTGTTAATATCATGAAGGCAGTTTAATTTCCTTAAACTGTTTAAAATGTTAACTATAAAAAACTTTTAAAATGTTTTATGTTTTATGCCACATTTCTCACAGTTCTCCAAAGCGAATTTCTGTCATACCAGCATCCAGAAGTTTGACAAGTTCATCTGACTTCTCAAAGTCCACCCATGTTGCTTCAACCCTTCCAGACTCCACAAGGTCCATGAAGACATTACAGCGATGTTGTAAGGCTTTTTTAACCTCCTTATTCCTCTTCTCACACTCCTCAGGATGATATTTTGTTTTAAACCTTGAAAATGAAGGAGGTAATGATAGTCTTTATACCAGGTAGTTCTAATGAAAGATCCCTTAAATGTGCCATCTTGAAAGACTCTGCATTCATCATTTTACATGTATGTATTTTTTGAAATCATTGAAAAATAAAGACCAGTTAACAAAATACAAGGTTTTAGCATAACAATATACATAATTTCCCTTATTTTTTTTGTTTGTTTCTTACTTATAACATTTTTTGTCTCTTTACTTCTTAAACTGATTTACCGCAAACTTTATTCATTGTAAAAATGTTAACCAAGCATATCCAAGAAAGTTTTTCTGTCAAAAATGTTCCCCTGTAAAATCAAGTCATGCAACATAATACAAGCATCAGCTGACAAATATGACAATATCCCTGACACCCGTCAGAAGTGACAGAATTCCCAAACCTGTGAAGGAGAACGTAATTACCTGAGTCATCTACGCATTTCACTGGATAACCTGCACTACCCAGTAGTAGGTGTGTCTGGCACGTTTACTTGTACAAAAGCCTATCACCCTACCCTAACACTTTCATTAATATAAACACTGCATTGTGCGCAGTGTATCTAAATAACGCGAATAATATTCTCCAAGAGGGATCGACAGCTGCTTCGTTTCCATGATAAAAAGGAAACATGCATTGCAAAAGTTATTCCTCTTCTGTTCTTGCAAATAAAACCATTCATTAATCACACACATTTTCATGGGGAACTGATTACCAATAAAAAAAAATTACAGATTATATCACAAAGAACACAAAAGACATTAAAATGGTCATCCAATTTTTAAAATTATTTTCCACTTTGACCCTCTTTATTCCACATATCTATAAAGACTTCAGATAGCTATAAATAAAAACTGAGAAACTTAAAAAAATACCATTCTTCCTCTTTGTGTGCCAAAAAGAATTCGTTAATTTGTTGTCTTTTGAACTCGTCCTTATATTCATTATATTTTTTAATTGCATCTTGGTCGCTGATATTATCTTCTTGCTGTGATAAAAACTGTTTAAATGTCAACATTGGAGGCTGGGTGGGAAATTCTAGGTCTCTATAATAAACAAGACAATAATGTAAAAAATACAACTAAAAAGTGTCTACCAGGATAACAAAGTGAAAATTTTTCATTTGCATATATTGCAGAAAACAGCATACTATGATATTTAAGTTAACATCAAGAATTAACAAAAAATATTACCTTCCTCCTTGTCCAGGGTTAAAATCACCCTGTGGAGGACCTCTCATTTCTGGGGAGGGGCCCCAGGTGGGAGGTGGTTGCATTGGAGTTCCTCCATATCCACCCATGTCATAAGGAGGGTAACCTTGGTCATCCCTGTAATAAATTTGATTTATACATTTACAGCTTAATTCTTCTTCAGGAAAAAAAAATTAAAAGGTTCAACAGCTAAACTGAAAATGTTTAAATCATTCAGAATAACATACCAATCACGTCTCATTCGTTTTGCATGTGGAGGACTCATGTCTCGTCTGACATTTGGGCTATATCTTTCCCGACGCCGCGCATCATATTCTCTGTAAGGATCATGTCTCTCTCTGCTTCTGCTGCTCCAGGCTTCTCTAGCTCTCCCAGTTGATCTGAAAGTTTTATTTGCTATGTGTATGCTAATCTAGAAAAGAGCTAATAATATTAATAAATAATCATTCATTGCTTAATTAAATTAAAATTTTATTTCAAAGACTTTAAATGAATGTAAAAACTGTATTAAAGTTTGCACAACATTTGGGTAGGATAAGATGTAGTTTAATAAAGAACCTGTCTCGGTCCCAAACATCTCTTGGATCACGGCTTCTTCTTTCCTCTCGTCTTTCATAATCATTACGCTCTCTCCTGAATTTTTCACGACCTTTTCTCCGATCATATTCATCATCACTATCTGCCATTTCTGAAAATATAAATGCAAGGCGTACTAGCTAATGATAATTAGAACTCAAACATTGTGACAAGTTCAAAACTTGTATAGCTCTTTAGCTCCCCATTTTAGGGTGATTGAAAAGCTTGAGTAAAAGATGCATTTGAAATTGATAGCTCTTCAGAATGAGGCTCAGCATAATCAAAACTGTAATGCAAGTGTCTGCTTACATAATCATTCTTGAAACCATCCAACACAGCTTCAAAGCTTTTAAAAATTTATTCCCATTACATACATGTGATAATTTTTAGACCCGAATACTGTACAGGAGTCAGAAGCCTTGAAAATGCTGCAATTTAGGTGAAAATACTGTACATTGCTCATAAAAAAAACTGAAAAAAAAAATTTAAAAAAAATCGACAAAATATTGACCTAAAAAATCAAAAGGATCATTTATATTACTTAATTTCAAATCAACAACTGTACCACAGCATGTACTTTTACTTTCTTATTGCAAGCAACTTTTGCAGCTTTTAGAATGAATTTGGTCAATGTTGTATTTTGTATAATGACTGTTCATAGTACATTGTATCATGCAAGAGTCTCTGTCTCCAGTCAATCTTTTTTATACATGCTGAGAAATTTGCACATTTAAGAAAAATGTATGATAAAATAGCTAAATCAAGCTATTTTGAATAGCTAAATCAAGAGATTGTTGTGCAGGTGCAGCACAATCTCTTGATTTAGCTATACAGCATGAAATAGCTATATAGCTTTATTAAGCTATTCAGAATAGCTTGATTTAGCTTATTATCACATATTTTTCTTAAAAGTGTTATTTTTTCAACATGTACAAAAAGTCGCATCTTAGTGCAGTGACAGCATTCAACCTTGAACTCTACTAAACATTGTGCATCAAATTGCATCTCCTTCAGAGACTTTGAACTCAAAGTTCTAAATGTTTTGGGGCTATATAAACACTTTTCTGAAAAACTACATATGAATACAGTGCTTACGGTAGTTCTGGATCATCGGTAGTTCCGGATCACTTTTTTGTGTAATAATTCTTTTAAAAATAATTGTTGAAGAAAAATTATTATCGATATATCACATGCGAAGAATAGGGGGTATTACTACTTCCGATAAAAAATCGAACTTTACCATGCACGATTTCGAATTTTCGATACTTAGTTGCGTCAGAAATAAAGCGCCCCAAAGACGAAGATCAGTGTTTTGACAGTTTACATGTGCTTTTTAAGAAGAGTTGTTCTTTTTGTTATACATAAGACGAGTAAGGAAACCTCGTTAAATGTTTACTTGTTATATATTCTACTTCACCATATATAAGAAACTTATATCAATTACACCTGTATATTTAAAACAAATAAACACTGTGAACCCACTGTTACTGCAGTTCCGGATCACTTCACTCCGCAAGAAGGATTGTCTCAAACATCGTTTAATTTCGTTAACTGTATTATTTTGTATGATCACTTTTATGTGGTGAACATATTATCAAAATAAAATTAAAATAAAATATTTAATTTCTTTTGTTATTCAATCTCATTCCAGCACAGAATACTGACAACAAACACAGTCACGTACATGTCAGAGCTGCGTATTTTAAAGGATTTGCAATGTAGAAAAATTAATTATATAATTTTCTTATGTCTTAAGGAAAAAGTAAACTCCGTAATTATCATCTTGTATATTGTTTTTTAAACCTTTATAATCCACTGTAAATTGTCGATATTCAACTTATAAATGATTTTTTTTTAATCTTATTTCATTAGAACTGCATGGATGCTTCGATCTATACTTCAATCTATTTTTCGAAAAACATGCATGTCTGACATTTATTTTAATTTAAATCACATTTACTTCTGTTATAATAAATTCACCAATATATATCATTTTTTTATATCACCAGCTTCAAAACTTAAAATATGGCCTGGTTCGTCATGTTCGTTGGAATCTGATCAGGTGTTCGATATTAAATTAACTTTTTTCCCCCTAAAAGATAAATGATTATCACACTTTAACTGCATAATCCATATTCATAATTATACATAATGACAAATTATTGAAATATTTCCAATTAAAAAAAACAAACAAATTGATATAACAGCGGAAATTTACTTTCTATTTCTTCATCTTTCTAAATAAGGCCTAGATAAAGAGTTTAATTTCTATCCCATTCTGTGAAAAAATGTATGTTAAAAAATTTATATTTATTTACATATATTATAATAAACCTCAACATAAAAAGCATATCAATGTATTCGGAACGAAACATTGTGGCGCAAACCATATCAGCCCAAAAGAGAATCAGCACAAACGATCATGTAGCAAACCATGCACGGGTATGAAACATCCCGTTACTGGTAATAAGAATAGGCATTCCCCAGCTTAATTTTTTAAAATATATATCTACTACACTATTTAGTATAGTAATATATATATTTTAAACAATCAAGCTGGGGAGAACCTAATGGTAATTAGCGTGATCCACAACTGTCGTAAGTGATCCGAAACTGTTGTAATTTTAGGTGTTGAATACACTTTGATTACTTACGAAAGCAGAGTAATAAATTAATATATCTCATTTTATATGAAAGGTACGAGAATGGGGCTCCTAACAGTACGTAAATATTTATATTAATCTCGTTATTAATTTTCACTACCAATGTATAAATGAAAACTGATCCGGAACTACCGTAAACACTGTAGCTCTATCAAGCTTAATAAAGCTATATATAGATAATTCAACCATAGCTAAATCAAGAGATTGTGCTGGACCTATACAAGTTGAAGGAAAATGAGTAAAGTCGATCAATTTATTTTTCAATAAAATACCACACTTTTCTGAAGCATTTTTTAAAATTTAAATCAGTTCAAATGACATCGAGAGAAAGCGTCACCATTGTGTTCCGACATTGTTTTACAATTTCTATGCAAGCATTTGGATATTGATCGGATTATCCTATAACTTTCAGTGCAACGCAGATTATATTTCATGATAACAATATGAAAATCTTTTTAGTATTACTTAAAGGTAAACAAACCTTTTTTTGGGTTTTTCTTAGTGATTTTCTTCCAATGATGGCACACACCACAGTAGCCGGAAGTATTCTTGAAATAAATTCCAATTTTGAAAAAATAACTAAAACGGATATTTTTGGATTTAAATAACTCGTACATTATTTATTCGTGTTGCATAAACGATAATTCTTTCCATCACACACTGATAATTCTGTTGGAAGTTGTGGGGGTGGGGTTAATCCATGTCAGCAATTGTATATATACTCTAATAATTAAACATGATATTTTTATTTTAAATATATATAATAAACAGTTATCATGCTCAAATGGTCTGAAGACATCCAGATATCTGTGTTTTGAATCCATTAAATTGCAATATACCAAAACTATTATTAGATATTACTATCTTCTGAAATCTAAACTTTTTAAAAAAAAAATGTCTCAAAAAATATACAAAAAATCATTATCAATTAAAGTGATTTCCAATAGGATTATATAGGAATTATCTTCTGGAATCTTGCACAAATGCTTGGTAATGTACCTCGATAAATTTTTTGAGAGGATTGAGACTTGTTAAAGTAGCTATACTTCCATCACAAATTCTTTGGGGGGAAATTATATATTATTGAAAATGTGTTGTCTGATCTTAAACAATATAAATTGAGAGCAGAGCAAAGATGAACCCCTAAAAACATCACAGTGGGATCAGGTGCCATGGAGGAGTAAGCATCTTGTTGATCGGTTACACCTGCCATGACCCCCTTGATTAAGTAAATGTTTTAATCTGTAGACAAATCAGTAGCTAAACAATTTGTATTTAAAAATATCAATATATTTGACCTAATGACAGGTTATTTGCAAACAAGGTCCTTGCATCAACCATAGAATTTGCGAAACGCTAACTATAAATGACAACCTTGTAACATCAACTTATTCGTCAGTAGGCTGCCTTGGTTTAGAAATTGTTCATACGCAGAACATGCTCTTGCATATCAAATCAACCGACAGATAAAAACACCATACACAGATGATAATGGTATATTGTTATCTAAATGGAAGTTGAGGATAGAAAAGTTGCAGTCATCACATTTAACAATGTGGTTGGTAAGTCTCTAGACGATTCAGCAATTCTTATTGGAGTCAGAGTTGGTACAATACATTAAGTTTTAGCCTTTTCTATGTCAAAGAATTCTCTTTTCTCATCCTTTCTAGTTTAAGTGGAACATATAGTGATATTCCACTTTCCAAACAGCACTCTTATATTTTTACTATTCCCTTCTGCTTTTCCTTAGAATGTATATCCACTATTTGTGACAATATGAAAAGAAACAAAATTGTCACTTACCTCAGATTACAATGTATATACAAAATGCAATATATATAGGATTTAAGTGTAATATTGAAAGCAAAGTCATTGGTTACTTTAAAATTCAAAATACAACACAATGTCCAGTCAGTTACACATCAGTTTAATGGTACGTATTACACTACATATTTTCAGGAATATGTCTTCAATACAATAATCATGATTGTATAAAATTATAAATTAGGATAAAACTACAAAGGTAGAAAATTTAATTTCCATTAAAATGAAATATAACATGCATTAAAATTATCAAATATCAAAAGAACCTTTAAAACAGAGAATTTGTAAAATGTTAACTTTTAAGTAAATTGCCTTTAAATCTTTCAGAGAAGGAACGGAATAATGCTCTTTCTAGAACGAGGATAATCTTTAAACTCTTTCTTGTAATTTCTATGCTTCCCTAGAGCCCATACAGCCATCTGATAAAATCCACATGTTGTAAACAACACAGCTGAAATTAATAAATAAAAAAAATAATGCATTAAATCAATAGGCTGTGTGAATGACAAAATGGAAATCACTTGAGAGGTTTTCTGTTATACAGTGTACTGTTAAAACCATCAAGTTACAGATGGTCCAGCTGATAACCATTACAAGATATTTGTTTGAATCATCTCCTTGGTACCATGATATGGCCACAATAATGTGTTCATTATAATAATTTTTTTATTATAAATAAATATTTTCCTTCAAATCCAAGGATTTACTTTTGATCATTATTCAGTCTTGATTGTAAGATTATCATCTCCTAGTACTGCAAAATATATTTGAAGTGAGACAACTCTTTTGATTCTTACCTGGTAGACATTGTGTCATTACACTAAAACTGAGCCAGGCAATGGTCTCATATGTGTAATTAGGACAGGACACAAGGTTAAACAACTGGGTCATGGGGTTACTGTCTGGAACAGGGATCTTTCTGGTCTTTGTTCCAGCTGGTCTCATATTTCTGAATGCTACATGGACAGAGAAGTTTCCCAACTCTCCAATCTGAGTAAAAATATTGAAGAAAAATTGATTTGAAAAAAGAATTTCATTTTTTTTTCTTTTTAGAGGTATATCAGTGTTGTTTATCTACCTAGCATTGTTTACAATGATAAATGGGTTTATTAATCAGTTAAATCCGTGATCAATCTTGAATTGATTTCTTTATCTCAAAATTTCAATTTTTGTTTGCCTTGAGTTTTATTTTGAAACAATTGAGTATTACATTTGTTGTAAAAATGTTTGGTCTTCTAACAATGTCATGATAGAATCACAATTTTTTCTCTAAAACAAGGTTTTTACATTAATAGTGAGCTTTAAGGATGAAGAGTCAGGAAGTCCTGAATGATTATTGATGCTTTCAATGTTTACAGAGTAACAAAAAACATGAGTAAGATTTAACCTCAGGATTATTATTTTTCTTTATAAATTCTTCAAAATTTTACTGATCATCAATCAATCATTATCTGTGAGTAACTTATGTTCCATCACCCTATTTGAAGTGATTTTCAATACTCAATCATTTGCTTTTGACAAATACAATGAAAAAATGAAAATACCCCACTTACAATAAATCCAGCAAGTCCAGCATAAATCTGCCTATTTCCAAATGCTGAAAAAAATAAAAACGAATCACTTACATTGGTGTACAGGTACAAAGTGGAAGCACTATTATTAAGAATATTAATTTTCTATCCCTTGAAACTGTAACATAAAATGATAAATCCAAATCCCCATACATGAACTTTTACACGTATTGCCTACAATATTAGAATAGAGTGTTTTGATAAAGTAGATCAACATAGAGACAAACAATTGATACAAAGCTCAAATTACTGCTCATAGCAAAATAATTTTGTCTGAATGGGAATATAAAAATAATCAAATAGGAAGTGTTACAAGGCATCGAACATATCATGCCGGTAGCCATCAGTAACTAAACATGAAGAGTTCAACACCTAGATAAGCAAATATTGATGTACATGTACAATGCAGATAGATATAAAGTATATAAAGTGCAACAGAAATCTCACATGGTACGGTATACAATGGATGGTTGATGAAGTAAGAGATCAAAGCTGCAAATCCCCAGTAGTATGAGCAATTCTGAAAAGTTGGGAAGCATAAATTATTTCTGCAATGTATATACTGTATAGCTACCATTCAAAATGATCTTGATCTGCAAGTGCTCATATTTTCTTGATTAATAGAATTTCAAAACTGAAAAATGTTATGGATGATAAATCTTAATCTTCATAAAATATATATCACTGCCATACAAACCTTGAATAAATTCATAATAGGCATGGTGGCATTTGAAAACCTGTGAATGAATACTGTTTCTAGGAGCCTCTTGATGTAGTGGAATGAAAAACATGCACATGCTATACTGAAATTATAGAAACCAAAAAACTCTACTTGATAAAGAATATATCATTGATTATTGTTTATAAACGAGGGGGGGGGGGGGGGGGGGTTGACTTACTAGCATTTATCAAAAAGTTTAACCATATTAATATTACATAAATTTTTTAAGTGACTGATCAATGTGATCAATGAGTTCAATGTATTTTTCTAAAATGTTCAGAAAATTAATATTAAAGTTCTAAAACATCTTGAATACACTGGAGAATGTAATTTTCTAATGACCAGCTGGTGTAACTTACTTGACAACCTGTGTCCTTGGTTCTGATGCTGCAGCTGCTCCATATATAATGGCAGGTCTGGTATAAAAGATCAGGTATACAACCAGAGGACCAGCATACTCACACAGGAACACCTTATAACAGAAATGGTTAAATATCACAAAATCTATTCCATATTTCTGTTATTTTTTGTTGTGTTGACAATTTTGAAATGCTTCTGCGAGAATTTTTTCCCCCATTTACTCATTAACTGGATCATTTTTCTACTTCAGAGGTGTGCATGTGATTCAGATCAAAAATCAAATTCATACATACTGTGCTCCATCCAATTTGGGGACCAAGATCTTTGAAGTACAATGTGCCTTTCTTTCCTGTCAATCCTAAGTTACCCAGAGTCTCTTCATCTTTCAATAACTTCCCCTCTAAATTGTTATCAGAAATTTTAATTCCACAAATAATATACCAAAAAGTAATATTATGCAATAGTTTGAACTTTTTTAAAAACATTACATGAATTACATGTAATTCTTTCAAGAATTTTAATTTTGGAGGGCTAAGGGTGTTCCTGCACTTTCCTCTTAAGTTTTACTTACTGGGATCAACCTTGAATGCTTGTCTTGTTGTGTAATACTTTGGACCTGTAAAGAATATGAAAACAAAAACCTTAATCTACAATTTAATGCCATACATGAACCTGTCTTTGGCCAGGGTTAGAAACTCCCTAAAATTACAACTCGCAAATAATTGCGAGTACCAAGAAAGTGAACTCGCAATTTGATAAGACTACTCGCAATTTTCATATAAAGTTAAATTTATATAAATTAAATACATGTAACTTAAGGAAAAAGTAACTACTGTACAATACACAAAATACAACTACAGTGTGACTTTTATTTAAATTACTGATTTAAATCAAAAGCATTGTGTTCTGTAATATTATATAAGTTTGCTACAGTTTAAATGCAAAACAATCAACCCGCAAGTTTTTGTGAGTTACCTAATTTTTAACTCGCGATTTGGGAATTCTAACTCGCGTTTTGCGAGTTGTATATAGTGAATTTCGAACCCTGTTTGGCACTATAGTATAACCTCATAAACACTAAAATTGAGTGTAGTTCAAATATTTTAAGGGTTATAAAAACTAATCACCCCCTTACAAACTTACTCTTTTTCTGATATTCTTTTTTGACATCTAATATTGTTGATTTTGGTGTCACCTGTGAATGAGAAAGTAACACAATTTGAATTGAATGTTTTAATATATTGAATAGAATTTAACCAGTTAAATTATAGAAAATTTCAATTACAGTCAAACCTTGTTATCTCAAACTTGATGGGACCAAGAAAAAAACTTTGAGATATCCAAGGATTTAAGATATCAATGGTAAACACTTAAAGAATAAGCAGTTGGGACTTCCAATTCATTTCAACATATCCATGGTATTCGAGATATTGGTGTTTAAGATACCAAAGTTCAACTGTATATAGCAGTATTTGCTACTGAATGAAAAGTTTTTATAGCTTTTGAACTGGAATTAAGTCATTTCACAGCTGTAACATATAATTGACTGTTTTTTATTTTGTTTTTTTGTGAAATTAGATATGATTAACAGTTCAAGATTAAAGATATTACTCACATTTGTGATAGTTGCCAAACATTTGCCAGATTTGGAGTGTAAGACAGCAATCTGAAAGAAATCAAAGTAAAGATATGAGGCTGTTACTGTTTAATCTGATTAAAATTCTCCAATTTCAATAAAGTTTCCACTAATCAACAAAGAATCATGAATATTCATGAGATTTTGTTTGTAAGAAAATAATTATTTCTTACTTATACCTTAAGCATAAGACATAGGATAAGTGGAAAGGATATTGTTCATCATTTAAACATATGATAAACAGACATAGATGATAATACCCATGGGTTACATGGGAAAAAAACTACAAGTTTAACACTTGCACAGCAAACCAGTCTAGATGAACTCCTAAAATGGAGTAAACACCGAAAAACCAAGTCATTGGCTCCATCATGCATTTAATTTTATGGACTATATCTGTGTTGTATACACCCAAATTGTATTTTATTTTAAAAAGAAAATAAGTATTTTTTCCCGCAGAACAGAGATATTGACAAATTCACTTTTAGAAGTTTCATGGTCCTTTCTTTCCCTCGAGTGCCTTTTTAAAGTTTTCAAACCATTTGATAATGGTAAAAATATGTTTTTATGGCTAAAGATGTTTGTATGTGATAAAAAAAATAGGTAAATAACAATGGTAAGACCTACACTTTTAATTTAGGTGTCATCATGCATGTACAATTAAAACCCTGAAATGCTAATTTATGTGTATAAAATTCAGCCATGATTTTTATACCCCCTGCTTGAAAAGCGAGGGGTGTATAGTGGTGGGGGTGTCCGTCCATCCATCTGTATGTCCGTCCTTCTGTCTGTTAATACACATTGGCATACCCATCCCTTATCTGCAACTCCTCTTATATCACTGAATAAAATTTAATGAAACTTTCACAGAATCTTTATTACACAGTGCCATATAGCACCTCCTATTCTACGTTTTATCGGACAATTATTTCAGGTTTCCCATAGCAAAACATAGACAACGCCATTCTTTCTATAATACTGTGAGTACCCACAACTCCTCCTATACCACTAAATAAAATTTAATGATACTTTCATAGAATCTTTATTACATGGTGCCATTGTGCACCTCCATTTTAACTTTTGGACACATATATCAGGTTTCCCATAGCAAAACATGGGCACTTTCGTTCTATAATACTGGGGGTGCTCATTGCTTATCTGCAACTCCTCCTATACCACTGAATAAAATTTAATGATACTTTCACAGAATCTTTATTACATAGTGCCATTGTGCACCTCTTTGTTTTGATGGAACAGATATTTTGGCTTTCCCAAAGCAAAAAATAGACTTTGCCATTATACCGGTAATCATATGGGAGCAGGGGTATCATTTGTGAGCTCAGTGCTCACAGTACCTCTAATAACACTTACATAATACATTGTTCTATCATGCTTATTTAACCCTTTTATTATGGTTAATGACTTTTTAAAACTATTATTTTCAATAAAATTTATCTTTTCTGAAATGTCAACTTTGAGAGTATAAATATCTTCTTTTTTTTTTTACAAATAGAATTGAAAAGCGAACAAATACAAGGCTTTTATGTAGCATTTCAGAATACTGACACAATTGCCAGATTTTTCCAACCTTTTGCCAATCAGTTTTCACAGACCCATTGGTTTTTGCTGAAAAAGCGACATTTTTGTGTTTGTGTTCATGCATGGACTTTATTTTCAGTGTCCTTTTCAGTCTCATATTTTCATTTCTGGTGACTCCATTTCAGGGGTTCATCTAGACTGCAAACGTATCACTGCACTAAAGTGGGATATAAACAGTCTAGATGATTTTAAATTGATAGATAATATTTTTAAAAATGTTTTCATGCTAAAATCTGTTTGTATGTGATAAAAAAAAATCAGTATTTAATGATACCCAGTACGAACTTACACTTTTAATTAATTGAGATGTCGCATACAAATAAAATACCGAAATGATCATTTATGTTTAAAATTCAGTCTCGTTTTTAACAGTTACAATATGTATTGTTCCATTTGCATATATTTCCCTTTTATTATATATATCTATTTCTCAAACTAATCATTTTCACTGTTATTGATCTGACTTTAAAAGCAACTTTAAAAGTAAAAATATCCTTTTTTCCAAAGTCTTTTATGTAGCATTTCAGAGTACTGGCATGGCATAATTGCTATACTTTCCAAAACTTTGCACAGGCAGTTTTTGTAGACCCATAATTTTTGCCAAAACACCGACATTTTGTGTGTGTGTGTGTGTGTGTGTGTGCGCAATGTGTGGACTCTATTTTCGGAGTCTTTTTCAGTCTCAATTTCTTACTTCCGTTCACACCATTTTTGGAGTATTCCATTCCAAGGTCTCTGGTTTTATCCTTCATTTATAACCCCAACCGGAAGCTTTTGTATGCCATTCAAAGTTTTATTTTGTATCGAGGTAATTTTCAAGGAAGAAATGAGTGGTTTACAATAAAGAGGCTCGACCAGAGACATCTGAAATGATTTAATGACGAGAAAAAAGTCTCTTGAAGTGAACGATGTCATTTTAAAGTAGGTTAATGATTGATATATTAACAAAATACGACTTTGAAGCGGGGGTTCCTGAAATTGAGTTAGGTACCTTGCGGTAAAAGTAAGTAGGGGGTGCCCCGTATACACGAAACAAGTGTCTGTGAGCTAAATATAGCTATGTAGGTAATTCAAGCTATGTAGCTAAATCTAGTGATTATACCGGACCTGTTCAATGACTTCAATGCTTGTTAAATTATTTGTCTATAATTTTGCACTGCGTTTCCATGGACATTCAATGGTCATTCAGCATTCGCTAGGCCTAATTGAAAAAAAAAAACAACAACAAAACAAAAAAGACAAGATACCTCCATTTCAAATTTCTGCACGGTTTGGTCCTCCTAAGATCCTTGTCCTGAAGGCTGGTCAGTTTAGGATGCAGTGGCAGTGAGACGATTACGATAGCGTCTAGCCTTCGACTTTGCCCTAACGTGACTTAATTAAAAAATCTGAATCGCGATCCCGATCACATTTCATCAGTTTATATGTCTTTTTGACATCTGAGTTACAGTCAGCCCAGAATGCTATGTATCTTTACTGTGAAACTTGGAATCTCAAAGTTAATGCTTCAAAAACAAATGTTGTAATATTTTCAAAAAGTAGACAACCTGAAAATACTTTTTTCATGTACAATGGTGAGAAATTATCAACTGTACAAGAGTTTCAATACCTTGGCATTATTTTTTCAAGGAAGGGTAACTTTCAGAAGAATAAATTAAGACTTGTGCAACAAACAAGGAAAGCTATGTTTAGTGTTTTAAGTAAAGCTAGAAAGCTATGTCTGCCTGTTTTATTACAATTGTTCGATGCAATGGTTGCTCCTATTTTACTGTATGGTTCAGAAGTTTGGGGATACGAGAACAATAGTATTATTGAGTCATTACATTTAAAATTCTGTAAAAATATAATGAAAGTGAAAAAATCTACTCATAATGATACTGTGTATGTGAACTAGGTAGAGTGCCATTGTCTGTATCTATAAATGCCAGAATGGTTGGCTTTTGGCAAAGAATTGTTTCTGGAAAAAATGTAAAGATCTATCGAATGTTATATGAAATTATGTATAATCTTGATAAAGAGGATATTTTCCAATTCAGGTGGTTGTCACATGTCAGTAACGTACTGATCAAATATGGTTTCGGAAATTATTGGAATGATCAATTTGTTCCAAAAAATGTTTGCTTATCTAAAAAGGTTAAAGACCAATGTAAAGAAACTTTTATATCAGACTGGAAGTTAAATATTTTAATTCTCCTAAATGTGTTAATTATAGGATCTACAAAACAAACTTTGGTCTAGAGAAATATTTTCTTTGTTACCCTTTGATCTTGTTTATAATTTAAGCAAAATTCGATGTGTTAGCCACAGATTACCTATTGAATGTGGAAGGTTTTTAAATATAGATAGAGCAGATAGATTATGTGATCTCTGTAGTGTTGGAGAAATTGGAGATGAATTTCACTATATTTTTAATTGCAATTTTTTCAGTGATGAAAGAAGAAAGTACATACCTGAAAAAGTTTACAAAGTGAAAAATATCAATAGTTTTGCTGACCTGTTTAACAGTGATGATAAATTTACCTTAATTGGCTTGGCTAAATTTTGTAAGATTGTAATGTCTTTATTTCCAGTCTTGAAATTCCTTCCAATACCTCTAAATTAATATTGTATATATGTTAATCCTTTGTTCATTTGTTACCTTTTCATTGTTAATTTATTTCTTTTTGTACTTTTATGCCTCATGTGAGGCCATAAAGTGAATAAAATGTTTCAAATGTTTTTCAAATGTTTGATAGCAGAAATATATATATATATATATATATATATATATATATATATATATATATTATATATATATATATATATATATATATATATATATATATATATATATATATATATATATATATATATATATATATATATATATATATAAGATAAGATAAATTAAAAAAAAAATACTAGAATTCACGAAAATTTAGAATTTCATAGGGTGGAGTGGAGTTCAAATGATTGTTGTATTATCAGGACTGTGTGCATATATTGGTCCAGAAATTATACTGAAGACTATCATTTTTACAGTCTATTTATTTACAAATAGTTATACTATTCTGTGTTTTCATGACATTAATTTTATGCATAGATGGTTACAGCTGTGTGCTCTGCGCACGCCTACGCATTACTGCTAAAGATACCGCGGTAACAGGAAAGCAAAAAATAGATGACGGGAATCGAATACGAAACCCCTGCATTACTAGTCTGGTACTCCGATCACTGATCTATGCAGGCCGATATATTCACGGTCCACATAGCCAAAACCACCACATCCCTCCCTCCCTGAAATGTCTTCGCCCTCTAATTCTTAAACCCCTGATAGAACTTTCACCTCAGGTCCAGGGGTGTTGAGCGACACCAAATGTAACAGGAAAGAAGAAAATTTTATAGATGGACCAGGAATCGAGCACTTGACCCCTGCATTATAAGTCAGGTGCTTTGACCACTGATCCACCTAGGATGATATTCACAGTTCATATACTGTATATAGTCTAAACCATTATATTCATTACAATAACAATGTAAGGATTCGGTATATATTTCACCATCTTTTTTTTTTATTTCAAGTATATATATATCAATACAAACAAATAACATTAAAAAAGTAATACAAATATACAAGAATATAGCTAAGAAATTCTAGATTCTGTATAAAATATATATTAACTATGTTTTATAACTTTACACCAGAAGACTGAACATTATTTAAGATTTAAGTTGTAATCTACAAAACACATATTCAGAGGGTAGATTTTTCTTTTTACGTGGTACCATCAAAAGGTTGTTACAGTCTTCAAAGTAACACATAAAATACATTTTTGAGATCTTTAAAAGCACCAGGGTACTCTGTCCTTGTGATCTGTTTTAAACACTGGTGTACTGCACTTCAAGTGCACTTATACTGTTACACTTCTGACTAGAAAGCACCTTCTTTCGGCGAGGAAAATGGAAAAAGTCGCAAGGACATAAATAAGAAGAATAGGGTGGATGCTTAAGCACCCTCACTTTTTCCACATAAAACCCGTCGGTGCTTATTAGTGCTTATGAGTACCCCTGATTTCAAGGTGAATAACTTCATTCTTCACGAAATTTCCCACCTGAATTGCTTCTTAAGATTTTTCTTAAAGAGGAAATGAAACCTTTCAAGCGGAAGGAGGTATATATATTGTGCATTTCCGTCTTAACAGAACTTTCAAGGTGAGAACGAAAAAAAAAACCCAAACAAACAAGATGTGTTTGTGAAACACTGATGCCCCCGTATGGCAATTTATAGTGAAGGTTAAACTTCCTCAAGTGCAAATCAAATATATTGGTACTCAAAGTAAGGTCTTGTCTCGAGGAATATACCAGTAAAAATATGAAAGCCCTACCAGCAACCATTAAATAGATATGAAAAATGTTAAAGTTTTTCAAAAGTAAGTCAAACATCAAGGTCAAATGGTCAAAATCAATGGTGCCCAAGGAAAGGCCTTCTCACAAAAAATACATGTGAAATATGAAAGCCCTAGCACCAACCGTTCAAAAGTTATGGCCAAGGTTAAAGTTTTCAAAAGTAGGTCAAACTCCATGGTCAAATGTCAAAGTTATGGTATCCAAAATAAGTTCTTGTCACAAGAATTACATATTTGCATATGTGAAATATGAAAGTCTTAGACCAACTACTAGTATTTAAAAGTTATCGCCAAGGTTAAAGTTTTCCAAAAGTGGATCGAACTCTAAGGTCAAGGTCAATGGGATGTAATTGTTGGTATCCAAAGGAAGGTATTGTAACAAGAAATACACCTGAGAAATATGAAAGCCATAACAATAACTGTTCAAATGTTATGGCCAAGATTAAAGTTTTCCCAAAGTAAAGCAAACTCCAAGTTCAAAGGGTCAAAGTTGTTGGTATCCTAAGGAAGGTATTGTCACAAGAATTACACATGTGAAGTATGAAAGCCTTAGCACCAATTGTTCAAAAGTTATCACCAAGGTTAAAGTTTTCCAACAGTAGGTCAAACTCCAAGGTCAAGGTCAAAGGGTCAAAGTTGTTGATATCCAAAGAAAGGTCTTGTCACAAGCAATACACTTGTGAAGTATGAAAGCCCTTGCACCAACTGTTCAAAAGTTATGGCGAAGGTTAAAGTTGGTTTAAGTTTTGCAAAACTGAGTCAAACTCTAAGGTCAAGGTCAAATATGATGGTCTTGTCACAAAGAATACACTTGTGAAATATGAAAGTCATAGCTCCAACCAATCAAAAGCTATGGGCAATGTTAAGAGTTTTTGCGGACAAACAAATAGACAGACAGACAGACAGACAGACGGACGCACAGGGCAAAAATTATATACACCCGAATCTTCGATTACGGGGGCATAAAAACAAAAATGACTAACGGGTATCACTTTTCATGATTTGTGGTATCCAGACAGCTTTCAAAGCTTTAATAAAATATCTAGGACTCCAATACTACCTTCTATTCTACTTGTTAAGCCTATAAGGTTTTCCTTTTTAGTTTGTCTTTAGAATCCCAAAAGAAGTTGAAAATAATCTAGATAGAGGAAGAATGGAAGCATCTGCATGGTGAACATGTTTATATTCTTTGCTATATTCAGATGGTTTAATTCCTGAATCTTCATTTTTAAGCCTAAAATATCAGCGACAAATAAATATATATGTTAATTAAAAGTTTAGACTTTATCAAGTTAAACTTATCTATTATCGATGAAATAGGAAATCCTTGCTTGTTGGATTCCTCTGTACATTGGACATGTTTTGGAAACCCAACCATTGTTTTTTAATCGATATAACGGATTTTTATAAAGATTTCATACATCTTAATATTTTGTTTTAAATGATGCATTTTCCTAGAGTTTCAAATAGGAAGTTCCATTCTATGGGAACAGAGGCGAATTTAGAAATCAGTGTTTGATTCTTCAAAATATTTCAAAATATCTAGAACTATACTAGCGTGATGGTTAGAGATGATTCCTTGAGAAAATTTTCAGCAAGGTGACACTAAAGGCTTTTAAAAAAGTTTCTGGCCCTTGTATACGTGTACCATTGTTCGACTCCCGTCTATCACAGGGATTTGTAGATTTATTCTCAGAATACAGGATAAAGAAACCGACCAAAATACAAACAACAAAGTGGATGACCTTTCAACACTTTATCAGATCCGTGATTTATGAACAGAAATGAAAGGAACAAAGAAAAATGTATCATTTTTAATAAATCTAAAATAAAAATTAGAATAATTCTCATTAAAAACATTTTCGGTGAACAATGGATGGACCAGATTCGTCGTATTCCTGTTTGCTGATCCACATCTGTTGGAAGGTGGATAGAGAAGCAAGGATAGAACCACCGATCCAGACGGAGTATTTCCTCTCTGGTGGAGCAATGATCTTGATCTTCATTGTGCTAGGAGCTAAAGCTGTGATTTCTTTCTGCATACGGTCAGCAATACCGGGATACATGGTTGAACCACCAGATAATACTGTATTAGCGTACAAGTCTTTACGGATATCAACATCACATTTCATGATACTGTTGTATGTGGTTTCATGGATTCCAGAAGATTCCATTCCTAGGAAAGATGGCTGGAACATGGCTTCTGGGCACCTGAATCTCTCGTTGCCAATAGTGATGACCTGTCCGTCAGGGAGTTCATAGCTCTTCTCTAGGGACGATGACGATGCTGCTGTTTGCATTTCATTTTCAAAGTCCAAAGCAACATAGCACAATTTCTCTTTAATGTCTCTGACGATTTCTCTTTCAGCTGTGGTTGTGAAGGAATAACCGCGTTCTGTAAGGATTTTCATGAGGTAGTCTGTCAGATCACGTCCAGCGAGATCCAGTCTCATAATGGCGTGGGGAAGGGCGTATCCCTCGTAGATGGGTACTGTGTGAGATACACCGTCTCCAGAGTCGAGTACAATACCAGTTGTACGACCGGAAGCGTACAGGGAAAGTACAGCCTGGATAGCGACGTACATGGCGGGGGAGTTGAAGGTTTCGAACATGATCTGTGTCATCTTTTCTCTGTTGGCCTTTGGGTTAAGTGGAGCCTCGGTCAGAAGAACAGGGTGTTCCTCTGGGGCCACACGGAGTTCATTGTAGAAGGTGTGATGCCAGATCTTCTCCATGTCGTCCCAGTTTGTGACGATGCCGTGTTCAATGGGATATTTCAGGGTGAGGATACCTCTCTTGCTCTGGGCCTCGTCTCCCACATAGCTGTCCTTCTGCCCCATACCGACCATTACACCCTGTAATTTTTAATTTTCATTTAATTTTAAAAACCTGAAGAGATTACAAGGAAAATTATTCTGTTTTCAAACATAGAAAAAAAGGGTTTGTACAAAATAACAACCAAGTCTCTTCGACCTTGAACTATACTTGAAAATGTTTCACGTGCTTAATCAGAAAAAATGATTATTTTAAACAAATGGATTTAAACAAAGGGTCATTAAAAAACAATCTTACACGATTGAACTGGAATTCCGTTTTTATTGAGAATATTTTTCTGTTACAATAAAAAAAAAAGACTAATGTAACGGAGCCATTAAAATTCATTTAATTCATACCTGATGCCGCGGTCGTCCAACAATGGAGGGGAACACAGCCCTGGGGGCATCGTCTCCGGCGAATCCGGCCTTGCACATTCCCGATCCATTGTCGATAACTAAAGCTGCAACGTCTTCGTCATCCATTTTTTATTTGTGAAGCTAAAAATCTTACAAATCCGCAGGTGCCCGGTAAAAGTGTATGCCTGTGTGATGGAGGTCCTTTTTATATGCGGTAAACCAAATCCTACTACAGAATAATTACCATATATGGTTACATTACGTCGTTCAAGTAAAATATCAGAATTACTTCGCATAAATTGTGGTGCTAATGAAGCAATCGCGTATTCAGGAAGATTATTTATGCAATACACCTTGACCGGCAACAGGAAAAAAAATCTTTAACAAGTAAAAGAATGTGGCTTACGGCCCGGTCTGAAAATGGGATGCGAAATTAAATTTAAAAAAAATAAAATAAAAAGCTCCAGTATGCGACATCATGTCTGTGGCATGCAAATACCTGTAAATATTGGAAAAAGTGCGTTTAACCATAACATTCCCCTTAAAAAAAATAGTCAAAATCCATTTTCGAGAATCTTGTGTGTAAGATAGGTTATTATGTAAAAATTCGTGTTAAAAGGTTCTTTACACATGACTATAGCACAAGCTTCAAAATTGTTTTCTGGAAACTTCTGAAATCGTTACCTCATCAGTAAAAAAAAAGTAACAGCTTTGAATATGTTTTAATTGTTAATTTATTCACATGAACCGCGGAGGTGTGACACATAATTAATATCACGACAACACGGCAAAAGAAATATGAGAATACCCAAATTTATCAGTTTTTTTTAAATGACATGACCAATGTTAAGCTGAATTTCTGTCGGTAGTATCACAAAATTCATTTTTTTTTCAGCGATTGAAATAAAAATTTTATATGTCAAGAGTATTATATAGTTTTGTAAAATATCATAACCAGGATGACATAAGTTGTATTTATCTTTTTTTTTTACTTCATGCATTAAGTAGCATTTAATAACAATCAAGATCAAATTGACCAAAAAACAAAACAGAACAAGAGAGATGCATTTTCATTCATAATACAGGCCATATAGCGTGACCGTGCAGTAATAGTTTTTGTCCGTATGTGTGTACGTCACAGACGTATCAAGGTTCGTATCCCACAAACATCTACTACATATACTAACACTACTGTCACCAATACTGCCCATTGACACCAAACAGACCAGCTTGTAACGCTCCAAATCCAACGTCTTCACTTGTTTTATAATCAGATCAGGCAGCTTCATCGCCATTTCTGCCGGGGTGGGGGAAGAATTGAAACCGTATTCGTAGTTTTCCAGGAGAGTGGACAACACTGCCTTGATAAGGACCTTGCTGCGTGCCGGACTAAATCGTCTGTTTGGACCTGGTTCCATCCGGTAGGTGGGCTCGTATCGTTTGTCGAGAGGCACTTCCGGTATGACTTCCTTCTCACTAATGGTGGAGGAATCTATTCGAGACTTAATTACATTCTTTGTGAGTTTCCTCAGGCGCGCAGTCCCCGTCAGACTGGGTAGAGTGCTGCTGGTGTTTTGGCGGGAAATGGTGGAGAACGAGGGTTCGTCATCTTCTGTTTCTCCGTCTGCAGACGACTGTTTATGTGGCAACATTATTTCTACAACTGATATAGTGAACATAGCAGACGACTGTTTATGTGGCAACATTATTTCTACAACTGATATAGTGAATAGAATTAAACTAGTATTTCATAATCAATTTTTTATTGTCAAATTTATTCATATTTTATAAAAGCTAATACTAATTGAAAAAAAAATCTTTCATTGACAACATAATATGTAATTAAATAAAAAAAAAGAAGAAGAAAGAGGGACATTGAACCAAAACCAAAAACGTTGGCCTATTTTTCAGACAACGTACTTCAGACACTTATATTTGCAGTAGGAATCTAACGGGTTTCAATGTTTGTAAAAATACGTGCTACGTTTTACAGAATTAATATTATTTATTTTTTAAATAAAAATCTTTAAGAAATTAGAAAAAAATCTAAACACTATAGAATATACCTTAGTCTGCCTGGTTTCGTCCGCTCTTACCCTGGTACAGATTGGTGTTGGTGTTGGAAACGGCTTTTTTTCTGTTTGAGGGAAGCGGTGCAGATCACAGGCGTCCATGGGAAACACTGCGTGTTTTACTTTTCAATATACATGTATACTATTGTCCTTTTATTTGTTTTATACGATCTTTAAAATATTTAAACAAAAAATTCAAAAGAAAGAATATTACGTTACATTATAATTGACAAGAGGTGAATGTCAATGAAAAAGGGTTAATTTAATACAGATACTTATCGATTCAACACTTTTTAAGAACCCCCAAAGCACCAAATCAAACTATTGTTTCTCAATGATAAGGTGAAAAAGAATTATTGATTCGAAAGATAAGAGCTTTTCTTAAAATCCAAGTGAAATAGAATCCTCCGTTTTTATTTGCAAAACTGAGTCAAAATAGGACCCGATTTAATTTCAATCATTTAAATTCTCCCTTCTTTAGAAATATTTTCTAGGGACTGTTTTAAGAGTACAGTTATGTACTCAATATCTTGTACAAAGCTCAATCTTTCTCCAATTACTTTTTTGATATCTTCTCCAATCTTCAATTCTTGAGCGGGATTTCATCTAGTGTAAATGCAAATAATAAAGCATATCAAGAATTGTCATTTAAGAGCACATGGCAATTCCCATATGTAGTGAAATTGACATCATTATCATTGATAAAGCATTGGCTCAAATTTTAATATTTGTATTTGAATTTACACAAAATCAGGTAATTCTTATAAACAGCTTGAATCATACATAGATAACGAAACCCTTGTCTAATTTAGTGTATCTAAGACTCATTAGAGGTTGTCAGCCTATTGCCCTCCCGTCTGACCTTGTAAGAACTGGTTGGCTGGTTTGGTTTGCCTTACGTCCACTCGAGAATACCTTTTATGGAGTAGGATTTCTCCCAAAGCCACATCCCCCCGGAAGTTGTACTCCAAATAAGATTTCCCCTCGGAGAAAATCAAACTCTAAAGGAAAATATCTCCTTTTCCAGAATAGGATTTCCCCTACCTTATATAAAGCGCATCGAAAATATTTTCAATGGTTAAAAGTTGAACGTTTATTTCTATTTTATATGGGAAAATGTTTAATCCAAAATTTTACTTACGGCACTTACAACATTATGTAAACATGTCTATTGAAATATGATTTCAGCAGTGATTATAAGTCGAAATAAGCTCTTGATTATTTAATAAATTATTATTATCATTATCATAATTGATATTATTTTTTTTCAGAGGGAATGTAAAAAAAATACTTTTCACTTAAATTATGCAGAATATGAATATCTCAAAAACATGTCAAGAAGAATCGGAGAGACATTTTGCTTTTTCAAAATTAAAACTTTATAAGGAGATTTAAAATCATCAGTTGTTAATGTTTTGTTATCAATTTCATGTCAGTTATAGAAAAGAAGTATTAGACAATATTTCAAAAGAAGTTGAAATAAATTGCTAAATTTAATATTTCCGAGGGAGAATTAGTATTCTAGAATCATTTTTCGGGAGGGGGGAGGGTTCCTACTCAATAGCCAGTTTTCTGGGGAATTTTAGGGGAGAAAGCCTACTCTACAAGACCTCCGGTTTTCCTGTAGAAGACGGCCTGTACTCGTCACTTACAGTCATTCTTTTTCGTTCCAGCATTAACTGTGACACGGGACCACGGTTTCGGAGAATGTTCCTTGGTCAGAACTCTTATTAACATCTTCAGTGATGTCATCATACTGTGAACTTTTATTGGACTTGGTTGTGGCAGCGAAGAGGCATCCTGCGTTTAGTCCTAGAACAATTTTTTTCATAAAACCCCATGATCTTGAATTGATGATTTGTTGAGATAACATTTAATATTGATTTTTTTTTTTAAATATAGTAATGTTGAATAGGGATCAACTTTTACGTAATATAGTGTATACAGGGAAAAATCCTTTTCTCCAGAACGTAAAAGCTTGATAGTCCTATTGATACTGAAGCATCATCAGGCTGTGTGGATTCAAACTTGGTTAAGTCACGACTCCTTTGGGCTAGGTAGGACCACAGTATGGGGCCATGGCATGTCATGCCAAGGTTACTGTAACGAGCTTTGTGGCCCATAGGCCTCCTGTTTTGCGGTAAATATATATTCTTTAAATATTTTGCATTACATACGTTATTTATGTTGCCTGTTTTGTATGGAAAATGGTCACAGGCACATAAATCATGTTAGTATTTTTTTTTACTAGATCAAACCACATTCGAGTCCGAGTTATTTCCCGTTGACAGTCTTGAACGTTTATATTTTTTTCTTCTAAAATAGTTTTACGCAATTTTTGATCGGTCGCTAAATTTGTATTATCTCTCAAATTTTTGCATGGATCATTATACTCTTTAAATACTAGTGATTTACTTCTATCATTCTAATTAAACATGAAGATTCCTTCTACAGTCGAGCGGGAAAAATCTATACATGTACTTCACTTGAAGACTTCTTTCAAATAAAGAAAGTAGGGGCATTGTTAGCGTACGCACAAGAAATAAAAATCCTGAATAGAGTTTAGCATGAAAGCTTAAAGTGCTCGTACATGTGGACCTTTGACAATGGTTTTTCTACAAGTATAAGGTTGTTAGTAATATAAAATTTGCTAAGTGCAACAAACTTACGCAGTACCGGTATATTATAATTTCATGCTTGTGAAATTTTTCACAGATGATCCAGATGCGACACACTAATTATAAATGTCAAAATGACGTGTGCTTTGATTGGTTGCTGTATTTGGATTGGAAACTATTTTGAACTCCTATTTTATTTAGTATATAAATATACACGTACTATTAATAGGATCCGACAACTGAATTAACCAATTTGAGCCATCTTCCAAAATTCACCTGTCACCTGTTCCGGTTGCGAGAGGATATAATGGTCATACGTTTTCATTTCAGCACTTAATATAATACAAAACCTTTAGTTTAATATCACGTTGATTAATAATTATGTATGTAAGAACTTTTTTGTCTAGGTGGCAAACCATGGGCTGGCTCTATTGAACGGCAGGAAACCAGAAAAGAAAGTAAAATATTCAAATGACAATGAATGTGGAAATGTATTATTTTAGTGGTGAAAAAAAATCGATCGAATAAAGTTACTAAATATATCAACATTCTACAAAGAACACCAATATCTATGAAAAAAAAGATGAAGAAAGAAGAAAACAAAACAAAAAAAGGGGGAAAATCTCTACTAGTAGTTTAACTCTGTGCAAATAACTCCTCCAAATATAAATTTGTAGGCCCCTACAAGGAACTCAGATCTACAACCAGTATCGCTTCTGTAACAATGTACATATTTATATTCTGGGTAAATAATCACATCTTATATTTTTCCACATGCAGATATGATTTCATTTTCATTTTCCCTGTTACTGTTTTTACTGAACTGCAAACAATACATCAACTAATTGAGTTATTTTATAGATTTTCACATTTAGTCTCAAAAAAGCCATGAAATTCCCGTTACTCAAGAGAGCTGAATCAATGTCAACCAAGTGTTTGATAGTGAATATCTATAGTATCCCTTTTACTTCTCGCAAAAATAAAATCAATATATTAATCTAAAATATAGATTTTTTAAATAACAAAAAAATGGCTAAAGATAAAAGTTTGCAACTCTTGCCTCGCTCTGTAAATCACGTTGCCAATAGAAACGCAGGACTACGCCATTCTTTGTGTGAAGCTGTTACCTTACACCGAACAAAGCCTCCGAGAGGATTAGAGTCGACTTCGATCACAAGAGAGTCAGGAAACTGGACTCGAAACATTCTTATGCCGGTTAAAGACTTTAAGACCTGAAGTTAATTCTTTGGTCATTATGTTGTACTATTTAAATTCTTAAACACAATTAGATTTAAGTACAGGTACTTAATCAACATTATTTTTACCAGTAAATATATATACATGTATCTTAAATATTTGAGAAACGGAATGAATATACAATTTTTGGGGGGTATTACACCATTACAGTACCCCTTCAAATTCAAACTACAGGCACCTAACGTATGGATGGTGCCCCCCCCCCCTTCTGAGGATTAAACCTCAAAATACATGAATTCCTGGTCTTCATACCTATATACCCATTTATGATTCATCTTCCGTTTTTGCTAAGTTTTAGAGATTGTCCTTCTATGGAATATATTATTTTTATACAATGTAGAAGACAATCTCTAAAAATTCTCAGGTTGGGGGAGGGGGTGGTTGTCACACAACCCATTGAACCCATACACGGTCAGGTGCCTGTGCTTCTGTAAGAACTTTGAAATTTGATGTAGTTAAAATAATTTATATTTCTTAAGTTACAAATGCATCTTTATGGATACAATACAAAGGTAGATTTCATGCACTGTTGCAAAAGTAAATTTAATGCTTTTAATTCCAAACACCTGCACACGGGGACAAGATGGGAAAACAGAGGAAGGACACCGAGAGAAATTACGAAGAAAGTCGCTGAATTTGCACATACTGATATGATAATCATAAATTTATATTGAATTGTAATACTAACTTAGTAAGTTATGTTTATAAATTTTCTATGTAACGTTGAAAATTCATTCTGCATATATTCCATAAACGGTGCATGAACAGAACAAACTTGCATTCTTGTAATTGTAGGAGGCATATGTGTCGGTACTCGGAAACCATTGACATCTGCTGGACATTTGAAGGCCTTGACCTCGGTTTTCACCAATCACAAGATAGCATACGATCTTGTAACGCTCAAAATTCAACTTTTTCACCCTTTCTTTGATGTCATCACTCAAAATCTTTCCAAAAATTGGTGTTTGCCCTCTGTCATACTTATAGTCTCGCAGTCTGCGATTAAGTATATCTTTAATGATATCTTCCACCGATTTGGCTGAAAATTTTACATCTGGTTCCAACTTGTATGTGGGTTCTAATTGTTTAATATTCACAGACTGTATATTTAAGGAAGATCCTTGTGTATCTTCTCGCTTCATCCGGGATTTTGATGACAAGCGCCTACTGTAGCGTCTCGCTCCCATCACTCCTTGAATAGAATTCCCAGAACCCCCAGTCGAACGGTTATTGGGCTGTGTGCTCTTACGCCGGTCTTGCATGGGTATCTTCAACATTGGTTCTGATATACTCACACTAGGCTTTAAAGTATCCAGGTGTTCGAAAGAATCTCTCGAAGGGGCTGTGGACGTCCGTCTGTATTTTGACATTCTCTTGCCAAATCTTTGCTTTTTTCACATACACATCAACTTGCTGAGATGACTTTAAATTGGAATTTTCAGTCTGATGTTTCGAAATTAACACTCAGCTCAATGTTTCGTTTCTTTGACAACAAAAACAAAAAAAAAATGTCCTGTGTCCAAGACATCTGATCTTTGACCAGGCAGTGCTTGGCTGTATTTGCTAGTTGGTCTAATCACAGTGTCACCGAGTTTTACTCTTAGATACCAAGGCTAGGATTAACCAAAACTTATGATCTTGGATTTAAACGATTATAGCTCATAATCTCTTTGAATCTTGAAGTAAAAATAGAAGTTAATACACTCTAAGAGTCTCTTTATATCACAATGTTAGTACGTATTTACTTTTTGTTATGGAGAACTTTTGGAGTCAAACATCTTATTAGTATGTAACGATACTTGTGTAATTATATAACATTGATTTAGTTTTTCTAAAGGAAACTATTAATTCGTTTGTATTTCTCTATATTCTATATCAAGGTAAAATAGTCATGTTGGAACGCGAAATTAATCGAGAATTCAAATTCTTAGCAAGGTCATTGACACCTCTGTGTACTACATCTTAATCTGGCTTTAGTACATTGATCTTCTGTTTTGAAGAAAAAAAGTACATTTTATTCATTATAATTCTTCTTTTAAAATAATTTAGGATAAATAGATCCTAACCAACATGTTTTTTCTACGCTTCATCAAATCGAGGTAAAACCCGAGTATAAACGTTTTTCTTTCATAAAATGTCATCTGTAGAACTTTGTAATCACATTGCAAAAGTTCATTACAGGCAAGTAAATGTCTTTTAGCATATTTCTAAAATTACTTTGTTGCTAAAGTTTTTTTTCTGTCTTTCATCCTGTCCATATCAACATTTTTTATTCTCGGTAATTTCAAATACTGAAGAAGGGATGACATTATTACATGTATTTACATACGAAGTTTAAGTTGATTAGTGCCATTTTCATTTGGTTCCACTATGTACATGTACTTGTAAGATCTTAATACCACCAAAAAATGTTTAGAGGTGCTGTAGAGCTTGGTGAAAATAGTATTTTATTTACAGTGGGATCTCAGTATTCCGGACACCAAATATACGGACGGTTCTGTTTCCGGACAAAATTTATGGGAACAGAATTTACATTTATATCTAACAATTACATAAAGCACATATCTGTAATACGGATAATCTGTTCTGGAACACAGGCGTCCAAAAGAACGAGACTCGACTTTTCGTGTAAATGTTAAAAAAAGCTACTTTATTAAAGGCTGTTGACAAATTCTAAAAAAAAAAAAATTAATTTTGTCTCGATTTATTTCTAGATAACCTTTGCATAGCCTTATAAGCTGTTTCAAGTGCATTCGTCATTAAGAAAAACACCTTTTGTATAATCCGTCACCTATTACAGTAAACTCGTATCTAGAACATTGCCTTTCATTTCGGCTCTGTTTGTGTGTGTGTTTGCGACCATCTCATAAGACTAGAATACAAATATGGGTCGACACATTTAAATCGTATAACGATTTATTAAAGTGTACATAATTGAGTGTTTTATGAGGCAATAATAAAAGGAATCGAAAAATAGGTGATAAACTAAATCTACATGGATTATAATATCATCATATTGAGGAAAAATATGTTTCTGGATCACCAATACACGAACAAGTTCTCCAGATATAATATTCTGTCCGTCAAGAGATGTTAAATAGGAATGCAAATAAAATCACTATTCCTTGTACACAGCAAACACCGACACATTGCAAAATAGATGTTTACTCTGAAAAGAATATGAAGTGAAATCGTCCGTTTTGGGGTCCCAAGCACATCGACTGGTAGCAAGAACGGTGGCCCCCCGATTTTCTCCCAGCATCACATTACATATTATCCTGTAGCGATCGTAGTGTAGCGCTTTCACTTTCTCCTTGACCTGGTTGCTAATTATCTTCGTTAGATTTCCGGAATATTTCTTGCTATAAATCATACCTGTTAATTTTTCGTCAATGAGTTCTTTCACGACCTCATAAACCTTTTTCTCATTATAGTGTTCTTTGGGTTCCATACGATATGTGGGTTCATATTGCTTAGCCGGAACTGAAACTGTTGATGCTGCTCTTTGTTTCTTTGATAACCTTTTGAAGAACTTCTTAGTGGCCAACATACCAGTAAGAGACCCTCGTTGCTGAGGTCCCTTGGGTGGTGGCTTTTTGGCGGGAACAGACACGCTGTTTCTTGGTTTATCGCTGATACTAACATTGTCTTTTTCCTTCTTGTCGTACGCACTCGGCTTCCGTTCTGTGATGAGCACCGGTTTTATAAGATCAGGAGTCTTCTTCTCAAGGTCCTGCTCGGCGCTGGCTTTCATTTTGGCGAGCATGTTGCCAGGTGATGTAGGGTATATCTCACTATATTTCACAGGGGTGATCTAGCTTAGATATTTTAATGAGTTGACCTGAAAAGGTATACAGTCATTCGTTATTCAAACAGAATCGCATGAAAAACTCTTTTTCTTGATGGAGTGGGGAACTCCTGATTTTGTCAAATATTTGTTTTTTTCATTACTTATTCCATAAATCAATGAACGGATTTGAATTGGGAGGGTAAGTATGTTGGGATATTTAAACCTGCATTTATAGAAAATCAGAAATCTATAAAATGGAATATCCTTTATCATAATAACCCATTAACCAAACCTTTTATCAAATCAACAAAAGTTAGCCATGACAGCAGGCGAGAAAATCATAAATACAAAATTCAATCCGTTGTGCTAAATTCTCAAAAGCCTTTTGTGCTGTAAGTTTTTTTTTGGCTAATCGATGTTTTCAGGCTATTTATATTTATTTGGTAATTGTTTACAGGCTGTTCATTCTGAAAAAAATGAGTTATCCTCTTGCGTCATCCACAGTTAAATTTGACCGATGTCCCTGAGACGAAATTGAAATGTCTTGGACATTTAGTGAAAGCGCCTGTCATTTAAATCTTATTTATTTGATTTTGGTCAATTTGTAGGTAGTGTAGATAAAAGTAAGTCATTCTATTTCTATTAGCCTGTGTCCTTTGTAAGTCCAGTAATATCAAAATTGAGGAAGCTTAAATTGGCAGTATTTTTTCCGATTATCATTTCTTTGTCCTTAAAGAATCATACCTAGGGACACTGAAAAAATGAACCCTCCAAATATTTTATAACAAATGAACGTTTTCATTGCATTTCTAACGATTGGTATCCACATATCATGATTGTCAAAAGCGAATTTTTATCATCGTTCTAAATGTCATGGAGTCCAGAAAGACCCCTATGCATTTTGAGGCCAAAAAAGTGAAAGGTCAAGGTCACAAATTCATATATGGTGTAAAATGGTTTCCATATTCACTTCGATACATTTTCTAACTAAAGCACGAACCCTTTCGATTTTTAGGTGAACGGACTGAGGTCCAAGGTCACAAACTTGGGTATATTGCTACAAATTGATTCCGGATAATATCTCAAATTAACATTTGCCTTTCATTTTCTGAGTAAACCTGTTCCTCTTGTGATGATGATAATAATAAGGCCACTCCAAGTTTTTTTTTCTGTCTAGCGTCCACCGATCTATCAGAAACCTACGTAGCTATCGCAAAAAGAAAAAAAACAAAACAAAACAAAACAAAAACACTCACACACACACACACACCCTCACACAAAAGCCAAAAAATAAAACACAGACTTTTTAGTCATTAAAAGACGCCATCCAAAGCATTTGAATTCATTAATATGTTTTTCTCGTAGAAAGATCTATTCTTTGGCAAAATCAAGGTATTAGATGTTTAAAATGTACCTAATATGACATATTGTAGACAAATACTTAGAAATATTGACAGAATAAAAACATTTTGACCTGAATAATTTAGGACTTCTGATTTTGTTTTTGTTTATGATTTGGGGTGTCAAAAACCAAGGCAAACGCGGACGCTAAACATAGGGGGAAAAAACTTGGAATGGCCTAATAATAATTATAATAATAATAATAAAAAACGTGCATGCAGTCTGGATCTGTAACTGACTTGTTGTTCATCACCTAATCTAGGCCGATAAGTCGTAACTGTTTAATATTATAAAGATTTAAAAAAGTAAAGTTCCCGCAGAGTACATACATGGAGAAGCTGTTTGTCTTTTCGCACCTTACTACAGAAAATTTCAATCACATTAAACCATTGCCAATTTTAAGAATTAAAAGTGTATAAAAATCTTAATACATTGTAGTCAAGGACTAATAGCGACCTATATCTACTATTGTATATCTTTTAGATTACTTTTTTAAAAGTACTCAGGTCAATTATAAGTGCATTTGTGCAATTTTATGTCTTCTGTAATAATAACAATTTAACACAGAAGAGAATTATTTTTCTTACATTATAAACATACATTTTAAACATTCTATTAAATTATCAAAACTTTCAAACAGGACATATGAAAATAAACATTAAAGTACATAAAAGAGTGGAAGATTTTTATAAAAAAAAATTTCTAGAATATCTCTATTCCAAAATTTGTAAATACACCTGTACACCTGTTTTTTTTATTCAAATTTATCAATTGCAGTCTTAAAACCAACAAAATAACATGAAATAACAAGAAAACAACAGAATGCAACAATGCTCCGTTTCACTCACCGTGATGTGGATATTGAACACACTATCTCATTTTTAAGAATAAAAGGAAATGTCTGTTTTCAACAACAGAATGTTTCTATAATCCACTCGCGGTCCGAACGTCTCTTGCCTGCCCAGCGCTTGACAAAACTCTTAATCCAATGCCAGCAGAAAATTACTCTGGAACGAAGGGTATTGTGGAATTAAAACCTGGACTAAGCTTTCATACGGCTGAACACAACAATATCGTATCAATACAAATTCTATCTTCATTATTGGAGAACGAAAATATTTGAGAAAAAGATTTTCTTTCCTTTTAAATACCCCATTTATCAACGACACAACTTTACACAAGACAACTATTAGTTGGTGAAATCTTTGTTCAAGATGTCATGGTTTTAAAAAACCTAGAATGAAATACCTACAACATATACAATGAAACTAAGAGAAGCCTTTTCTGTCTTTTTTTTTTTAAATTGTGTTTATTCCACAGGATTTAAATATTTCTAAATTATTATATCAAACAACGTTGAGGGTAACTTTAGTCCAGAATAAATAATTAACAAATTCACAATGCTTAAATTTTGTCCAAGAGATTTGTTTATCTTTAAATGATTCAGAAAATTATCAAGCGAGCATACTCAGTATTTGACACTTGAACTTTTCAAAAACTCCCCACACAGATTGAGAAAATTTAACAGGGCAACATGGAAGCAATTTTGCAAGCCAGTTAAACGGTCTATTGATGGAGAAAAGAAAACATTCATTTTTGCCAACGACAAAGAAAGATGAAAATATTCCTGCAGTGTGTAGAGCTCTTACCTGCAATAGCAATCAATCTCAGGGCACCTGCGAAATCGACAGGGATCTGTGATGTCAACAGATGCTATTGAATCCACTGTACTGTTGGTTACCACTCAACCTGAGAAAAACACACCATCAGATTAATATTTAAATCGCATTCAGAAGCTTGTGGAACTGATAAGTGTAAACGGAATCCCCCACTTTCTGGAAATGAGTAACGTTTATCAATTTATGATTTATTTACCTCAAAACAAAACAAAAGATCAATTTTATCTGTTATAATTAGAATCAGAACTAGGATATAAATAGAAGTTAAGCGTTACTGTTTTCTCTGTTAAAGGTTTCATTTTAATTTTTAACGTTAGTATATACGTCCCTGAAAAATTTGGAGTACAGCCTAAAAGCGTAATTTCTAACGGTCAATCCGTAATTCTCGCTGTTTGAATATCTAAGAAGGTATAACTAAAAGCATAACCTCTGCTTTATTTGTCAGTGTACAGAATAATGTTTTCTGTTCCTTTAAGGAGTAATTTTTTTTAACTGTTACAGTTGTTTCGGTAAAAAAATGATCTAAGATTTGATTTCAGTTTTATTTGAGGTGGGACGTAACCATTTTTGGTTTGATTTCTAAAATTCCTTCCCTTGGAAACGGGTACTTAAAACAGATAAATGTTTTAGGAGAGACGTTAAGATTTATTATAATGGGAGTCTTGTCAAACCTTATTGCCATCTTTACTCGTTATATTACCTGTAGATATTAAAAATTCGTGGCTTCAAAGGTAAGCGGTAGAGTTTGAAATTTGAATATTATTTGACATTTGATAAAATTGACTCGGTTGTTCCAAACTCGAGATATGCTCAAATTTAATTGAAAGTGCCTGATGCTCGACATTTTTAGATAATCATGTATTTTATTCTGAAGAGTTTTTGGTTAAGCAGATTATGGTTATCAGAAGCAATAAAATGAATTAAGATATTTTTTAATGTTTCACTTTTTTTTCTTTCGTTGATTATACTGGCTGGTAAAATAACTAGAAATCAATGTTCAAAATATACGATCTATTACATGTATTGTGAAAAGAATCGGTTACAGTTTTAATTGGATTATCCACCTCTTTTAAATCCTGTTGGGGAAATATATATCTATACAAAATTCTGTAATTTAAACTCTTAATTGTTAGTAATAGTGAAATATGTCTTCTATTTAAATGGAAAGTGTACCACAAAAGGCTCTGAGATGAGAGGTAATTGTGTATCGGGTAACCCTATGCTTCTTCAGAGATGAGATGTAATTGATATATCGGGTAATCTAATTGCTCCTATGCTATTCTTATTCTACTTATTATCTACGTTTATTATGATATAATATACATGTATAGAATATACTCATATAGTTAAATTCATGCAAAACAAAAATGTGGTGAACTGAAAAATTCTTTTTGAAGTGTAAAACACATTAAAATAATGGCTTGATTTACAAAATATTTTAGTGTTATGAATACGTTAAAAACTTGAAATTAATTAGACTCTAAATGGTGAAAAAAACCTAGTAACATTCATTAAAAACAATGTATTACTTCTTGTATCTGTGTTGTTCTGCACTATCAGAAAATTCAATGTATGTGAATAATTAAATAGGTCAATATAAATCATCATTGGTATAAATCAATCCACGCCCGACAAGCGTACAGGATATCACTGAATCCAGGAAGCTCACAATTAGAATATGAAATGCTATAGGGAAATTGATTTTATAAAATAAATGTTTTCGCTGTCAATATTTGATAAGTAGATACAATATGGCATGTTTGCAATGACACTTCGAGATGAAGAAACCATCGATTTTTAACTTAGTGATTAAATGGGAGCGAATGAAACAACGTGCTTCACCTCTATTTTAAGTCAACTCATTAATAAAATAAATTGAATTTTTAATGCAGAACCATAAACCATTATAATTTTTTGTTTAGAAAATGTGCGATGAGTATATTACAATATCCTACGGCTATTGATATTTGTAACGCGGATCATATGTGTACGTATTTTAAAATGATTTCATAATTTGGACATGCAGAGAAGATGTGTGCATGTTGCAAATTTTTTGCCAACCTTGCATTTTCTACGAGTACCACAAACTTCAGTCATTGATAATAGAATGATTTAACAATCAGAAGATAGCAAAGCTACAATCATAATTTTAAAAAAGCAATATTCACAAAACTGAATCACTATTATCGAGAGTTGAATATTGTCTGACGTCTTTCATAAAAATTGTTATGTCATTATAGTCCCACTGAATAGGATTTTTCCATTTACCCGATCATGACAGAGAGCATATGTCAGGTCGACAGGGGATGCTTTCTCTATGGCACCTGATCCCACATTTGTTCCATAGGACTTCTGCGGGTTGTCTCTACTCATAATTTGTATAGTTTAAGTGGACTTTTGAAAATGATCTCTGTTCGTTATATTTTTATCTTCTTTTTTCATTTTTGATCCTTACCTCGTGAGTAAAAATCCAGAGTGGGACGAGAGATCGGTCGTTTGGATGAGATTGTATCAGCCGAGGTTTCGAATCGCAGTAGGTACGTACCAGCAAAAGATCCCTCACTGCTTAATGGCCATAAGTGCCGAGTACGTCTAAATATGCAGCCTTCCACCGGCAATTGGTGGCTTTCTAATATGAGTAAAAAAATTTCGAAGGAACATAAATCAAATAAATAAACAGTACACAAAAAATTCCCAAAACTAGAGGTCAGAATATCTCAAAAGCACATGTAGAACATAGGAAAAAAATATCGGAAAATTAAAATAAGCACAAAACATAAAAAATAGAATGAACAAATTTAAAAATCTAAAATAAATTATCATAATTTGATTAAGATTATTTATAAGCTAAAATCATTAAGTCACAATCAGAATGTATAATAAATCAAAAATCAAAATGTCACAAATATCACAATAAGAATATCGTTAAAGCCAAAATATTTCTGAGCTACACCTACAATGTGACGGGAGACTATTACAAAGCAAAAAAATCCTATTCATTCATATTGTCAAAATATAAAATAAAGTAACAATCAAAATAAAACTAAGTAAGTCATATCGTCACATTCAAAATAAAACAAAGAAACAGTCATAATATCAAAATCAAAAAACAAGGATAAAGCTGTCAATACGACAGCAAACCATTTTTTCTTTTCTTTTTAGTGAACAGTTATGGTATTTCTCACATAAATTATATTTTTAAAAAAAATTATTCTCAAAACTGTAGGAGGTGACATAAGTTCAACAACTAGCGAATATCCGACATATCTACGATGAAATATATGGAGATAACGAATAGTATTCAAGCTCAAAAGTCCATTAAACAATACAAATTATGGAGCAGAGCAAACACGGACCTCTAAAACATCAGAGGTGGGATCAGGTACCATGGAGGAGAGAGCATCCCCTGCCGACCGGTCAAACCCGCCGTGTGCTCCTTGTCATGATCGGGAAATAACGGAAAAACCCGTCGACAATTCAGGGTTTACTATAATGGCCTAACAATATTAGTATGAGAAAACGTCAGTCAGCATATGACTTAATGATAAATTGTATTTGCTGACAAGGTCATTGTATCGACCATAGAACTTACGAAATGATGACTTTAAACGAGACAGCTGATATTCTTGTTTCATCAACTTGTTTGTCAATAACTTACAAATAATCTGCAAAATGAAATTTTCTTATCTTGAAAAGTACGTAGGAGGAGTTAGCCGGACAAATGATGTTCCAAGTTGGCAGCCGCTCATCCGCCTGCCATTTCAGTATTTCAATAACTGGATGTTTCCTTAGTTAAATATATATTTCCCTAAAGAAGATCCGGATTAGAAAGTAACAGTGATATCATCACAATCAAAATAAAACGAAGAAATAGTCACAGCATACAAATAAAACAAAGAAACAGTCATAACGTCATAATAAAACAAAGTAATATATTCAATCATGACGTCAAAATGAAACAAGTAACAGTCATAATGCCAAAATAAATAGAGAATGATACATGGCAAAATCTTTATCACACCCCATATAAACCCGAGACTCCAATATCAGTCCTCGGGCTGATATTGGTCGGGGGTTGATAACTATTAGAAATTGTTCTTACGTAGAGCATGCTCTTGCGTATCGAATCAACTAAGGGACATAAACCCCATATGCAGGTGATTAGGGTATATTGCTACATAAGTGAGGGATGTTGACGATTGAAAGTTTAATAGGTCATGATTTTTAGGTTACAATATGAAACAGATGTATTAGACTCTGTGGTATCTTTTATTTCAAGCTCACTGGGAAATATCGAGTCGATATATGAATGGAAGTAACTATTATTAATTGATAATACGTCGTCGATATATCTAAATATCGAGTTAAAGGTCACAGCAAGTGTTTTCTTCTTCTCATGTATACGCTTTTGAATAAAATCTTCACATGAATACAAAAATAGGTCTGGTAATAACGGGGCGCAATTGGGACCCATGAGAATTCCGACAGATTGTTGGAAGTCCTGGTCTCCAAAAACTACATAGATTTTGTCAATCAGAAACTCAAGCATCTTTTTAATGTCAACTTTAGAGTACCGGGTACTTGTGAGTACAATCAGAATTTTTTTTTTTTTTTTTTTTTTTTTTTTTTTTTTTTTTTTTTTTTTTTTACAAAATAATGTTGTAAATGGCCAGTGACAAAATGAGTAAATTTATGAGTTCCATCTTATTGAAAATGCAGCTGTCAATGATATCAAAAGCCTTTAATTTATCGTGGCTATGGGAATGGTTGTATACAGAGTTGAAAAGTCGTACGTTTTGATGTTAGATTTTGGTAGAAATTTTTATTTCAAATTTTCTAAAAGTTTCTTGGAATTTTTAATTACCCACAGCTGATTTACATCACTTCTTGAATATATCGTTGTTCAATACTCCTTAAGTTTCTCACTGCTGTTAATATTTTAGTGGGTAGTAAAGATAGAGGTTTGGTAGAACATTTACTGGAATCCGCTATGTATCTCTGCTTGTAAGGATTTTTAGGAAGTTTAGGAATCCAGTATAGGTTCGGT